TCTCACAGACCACAGTTGTTGAGTGTTGGTCACACTTGGTGGCGACAACTTCAAGAATTGTTCACCTTGCAACTGAATGAATGGGGAAGCATCCAGCCATGGTTGATCAGTGACATCTCGCATATTGGGCATGGTACATTCACCAACATCAAATTTTGAAACCTTGACCATTTTCCGTGGTGGAGAGGCAACTTCAATGGGGTCCTGAATTGGTTGGGACCAGTCAGCCGTGGGTGAAACAATTGGATCATCCGGAGCAGGGCACTGAATTCCTGACCTGCGTGTTCGAATAACAATCATTTGGCCGACTTCCATGATGTGATCAACCGTGATGGTTCGGCCATTCAGCGTGATCGATTCAACATCCAAAGCTTCAACCAATTTGGCATGTGCTTGCAAAAACTGTAAAACCGTGGCTGAGCACTTCGGTTGGAATCTGATGGGTGAGTCCTCAGAGTCCTCAAACACTACTGTACACGAATCAGCTTGCATGCACCCAGCAGTGGTGGGGTCATCAGAGATTATAGGGCAATCCATCCACGGTGTCGGCTCATCTTCAATGGATGCATCGGAAATGGTTTCTGGGACCCGTTCTCTGGAGCGGATCAAAAAATCCAAAATCGAGGCAACATGAACCGGACCAACAATCTTACCCTCCCATCTCATAGGGAAAACCATTTCAGCCATGGACAGATCATGGAAAGCATCCCAAAAACCCATCATGGCAAGCAGTCTGTCATCCTGGACAAACTCTTCACGTGGCGGCCACACATCTCATCAGCATCCAGGATCGATATGCTTGGATTTGCTCATCCGGGGTGAAAACTGGCATTTGTTGCAACTCATTGAGCCTAGCATCCAAAAAACCAAAAACCCAAAGTGCTTGAAGAGGGCTGGCAAGCTGTCCTACTGCCGAAAGCGTTAAACACACATTGTCACCATAATCCAGAACCGGGTCCATGGCATTCAGACCCATGACTTCATTGGGATGAGTGTGTCTAATCAGAGTGGATCCATTCAATTGCACAGCACTTCGAACCAGGCATCCATGAAGACCTTTGGATTCTAACCGGCAAGAGGAAAACCCATATTTTCGGCATCCACATGGGCAAGCACGGAGCTGTGAGCCCCATGCATGGAGAGCACACGGGGCAACTCCTTTCGCATTGAGCATATGTTTGGCATGCATATCTGTTTTGACCCCAAACGCTTCTAACTCATTGTCATCAAGCATCAATTGGTTTTCATCCCCGGCATCCCAAAGCCGTATTTCAGGAACAATTTGCTGAACTTCCCAAAGATTGGCAAGGGGTTTCCAAGGGAACATCTTGATTTCACCAATTTCAGGGGCTGTGAGGAGCCACCAAGCACGATGTCTCCTGCATGGCCAAACTTGGTCAAGGCGAAGCTCAATTTGTGAGCAGGTGAAACCCGTTCTACTGCAGAACCTCTGGACCTCAGCTTTGACGAAGCTGTCTTGGGCTGCCGGCGCAACACATTCCAAAATAACAGCATAGGCATGGAGACATATGGCAGCATTAAGGGTCTTTGTGAGACAGCTGGCCCTCGAGTCCCAAGCTCCTTTTCCGTCCCCTAAGGTCGAATAGGGCTGACAACTGAACCCTGACGAGATCACCGAAGCACCCCTTGAGGCTTTCCAGATTTCAACAATGGTATCATGGGTTCCAAAGTCTCCTACGATCCCCACAGCATCATGAACCTTGGTATGCAATGAAACCATGTGTTTGTTTTGGTCAACGGCAGTGACAACATGGAAACCAGCTGCGGTTGCTCCCTGGGCCAAACCACCAAAGCCACAGCAAAGGTCAACAACAGAGTGCAAAGATTCCCAAGTGGGGGCATGGTGTCCCAATACCACCGTATCTTTCGTTGCAGTCACAACCGGGGTAGGAAACTGCTGTTTCAGGCAAACATTGAGCATGGTGAAACTGTGATACCCACCAGACAGAAGCCCTTCATAAGCAAACCGTGCCTCACCATGCCTGACTTGCATAAGGTGAGACGAATGTTCAAGGTCAAACACCAAGACCTTCCCAACCAAGTCAAACGAGGCACCAATGTCAACCTGCGAGAATTCCATGGGCTGACACGACATGGCAAGAGGATGGATCGACAAACCGCCCAATGATCGGTAGGGGCAGCCGCACCCCTGGCAGGTATTGGGCCAACACGGCTGTTCCAAACCACCAACCAGATATACATGTATATAATTGATGGTACTATTGTTTATCAGTTGTATCCAATTCATAGTTTTCATTGATTAGTTGTCAACCTTCACCAGTTGGTTTACCCAGTTGTGCCACCCAAGAATGGCAGTTTCAAAGGGCATATCTTCGGTTGCAAATGGCATGTTCGACCAAGGTTGAATCGCCTTTAAACATACAAAAAGATGTGGAAACCCACCATTCCCACATCTATGTTAGTTTACCCTATGGTATAGCGAAAAAATGAAAAAAAAGTTACAAAGCCAAGGTTCCTTGACCCAAGTTCAATTTTTTTGGCGTGCGCAATTCTCTGACAAACCCAGAATCCAGATCATTTTTGCATAACCAGTGTTCAACCCAGATCTCTGACATCTAAGGTTATAAACCACTTCTACTATAAAATATACCCTCTGGTAATTAAACATAGCTATTGAAAATGGCCCATTTATAGTTGATTTACCTATTCCAAATGGTGATTTTCCATAGTTTTTGGTATGTTTACCAGAAGGTAAATCACAAATTCATGTGGATTTATCTGATCCAACCAGCATGGATGATTCCTTGCCGTCAGAGCGAGACACCCAGACAACACTGCCACGGCGGCCCGGTCGTGTCAAGACCACGCGCAGGATAGCCATGGCCACCAAACAGGCCTCGGTGAGATTCACTTGCTGAAGGTTTGGGTTTAAGGGAACTGATATACTTAATGGCTTATGAAACCAACTTGATGATGATGCCCACATTGTATATATATATAATACCATTAAATCCCCATGATATTTATACATATACACATTAATATATCTATAGATAGATATAGAGAGAGAGAGAGAAATGTATATGCTGGACAACATGCCATGGTTTATCAATGAGATGGTGCTTATTTACAACTAAAAAGAACAACACAAATGTACAAAAAACATGAAAAACAGCATTTGAACACGATATAAGATACAATATATATATATACATGTGTATATATATATATACATAATTGTGTTTACCAAGTTTGGACAGTTTGTTAAAACTGGATTTTACATAACTCTAAACCAATCAACAAATTGCCAGGCGACCACAGTCAAGACCAGCACCTTCCATAGTCCGCTGTTCGGGAACACGAGCTCACGAATCTCAGACACCTGCGAAGACGCTTAGCTGGGCTGCGGCTGAGAAACTCACCATTCAAAATGATGGTTGAAGAATGAATCCATGGGGGGGTTAAACCAAGTACTGGTATGTATGTATAGACATAACTTATAAAACAAATGCAATAGTTGGTTTGTGCATCCAAAATGGGTTTTGAACAAAAAATACGGTGGATATTTGCGGTGTTTTTTTCCAAGGAAATCTAGGGAATGTGCATGTCTTTTTGGTTAACCTACCCTTAACCAAGGTTTACCTGACCCCACAAGGGGTTCCCAATAGATTCAATAGCAAATCACGGTGAAAATAGCAGGAAGAAGTAGCCATGTTGACTTTTGTCAATCCTGTGTTGAGCATATCCAAACATGGCGAACATCTACCAGGATATGAATGCTCCTGGAAATCCCCTAAGCAGAAATTCATTTCTTCAAATGCCAGATTTCAAAGAACATCAAAGAACTAAAGATTAGAACCTGGTTGGTGGTTTTTCGCCACCCCTCTGAAAAATGATGGAGTGAAAGTCAGTTGGGATGATTTTATTCCCAACTGAATGGAAAGTCATAAAATTCCATAAAATTCCAGTCACCACCAACCAGATATAGTACTGAACTGGGAATGCTCCTATTCCCCAAGGATTTCCTGAGATATTGCCAGAAAAACCCAGTGGGAATGACTCGATCCCAGCATGGCCCGGAAACCCATGGTTTTCCCTGCGCAACTGATGCAAAACATCCACCAAAAACATCCAAAACATGTGGTGTTTAGAGATATCTTTCGGAAAAAAAAAAGTGCCATGCTTGATGTGGGTTTCTCTGAAAAGTAGGTGATCCATATTCTATTCAGTGCTTCATCATGTTTTGTCATCATGTTCCCCATTCTTGGCCATGAATTCGGGGTAAATCTCCATTTCTAGACCAAAAAAATCACACATTCATTCATGACTACCTCATCCCATTCAACCCTGCCAGTTGAAAGTTCGACCCTTTGGCGCCTGACTACCTGGCAAGATGACCATGGCCCTCACAACGTGCCACTTTTGCCCGGGAAACGGTCCCGCGCGGTGCAGGCGGCAGCCCGGAAACGGTCCCAAAAGAAACGCCTAGGTTTTGAGCCAGGCCGAAACAGAATACCTGGTGTCAATTAGCATAACTATGGAAAAAATAGCTAAATTGACCATCAATAAATGATTTACCTATATACAACATGGTGATTTTCCATATGTTAAATCATCAGAGGGGATATCAATGTGGCTGATCGCTGCCTTCCAGCAACAACTCACCAGAAAAAGTTATAAACCCTCCAAGACTGCAGGTTGTTTACCACATCAATCCCCACAAATCATCCCATGGTGAAACAATATCAATCTGTAACATCCAGAATATCCAAGTGTCCGTTGCCATGTTGTATAGAATGTTACCCTCTGGTAAACTAACATAACTATGGAAAATCACCATTTTTAATGGGAAAATCCACTATAAATGGTCATTTTCAATAGCTACGTCAAATTACCAGAGGGTACATGGGGGTTTCCATAAATGGGATACCCAAGAGCTGAATGGTTTCGAGAAAATCCTACTGAAAATGGATGATGACTGGCATTACCCCCATGACTTTTGGAAACCTCGGCCGCACCTCCCGGTTTTCCTGGAGCTCCTGGTCCATGTCCTAGGGCCCAGGCATCGCCCTTTGTTTATGGGGCCATAGCCATGGGGCTACCCCAAGAGCCAGATGGTGCTTGTTGAGAAAATCCTGCTGATGTTTTTTCTGATTTCAGGAAAACCCCCATGACTCAGGAAACCTCCATGACTCGTCCCCCAAAAAATGGAGAGATCTCCAATTTCTTCTGGTAATTTAACATAACTATAGAAAATCACCCATTTTTCATGGGAAAAATCACTATACATGGTGATTTTCAGTAGTTATGTTCAATTGCCAGAGGGTAGTAAACCAGGGGGTCGATTACTATTGAACATTAGGAGGATGGGATTACCAACCCAAAAAATCCATGGTTTTTGCGCAGTCGAAGCCTGCACTCCTGCCCACACTGAAGCCAGCCATGAGGGTTTCTGAAGTCATGCAGATCCCCAGTCGTCTCCATGGTTGTTTCAATACGAAAATCTTTGGTCATCCATGACGACTGGATGATGACTGGGGGTACCCCCCTGACTTCGGAAACCTCTGTTTTTCCCAAGGAGCAGAACTTCCTCAGCCCGCTGTTCCTTCTCTGGGCCCCCTCCGGTCATGTTGAGTTGTTGGAAATACAGCAATGACCCACCTGTTTAATTGAAACATCCATTTGCAAATGAGAGTGTTCATTGCCAGCTATTTTTTTTGTTTCACATCACCAAGTTTGTGGGCAACATGACCATCTTATAAAGTTGAACAATATAAAGAATGTTGTAGGCCCAAGAAATAACCATTACATATCTTTGTAGGTTTACTTACACAAAAGTTTCGTTCTTGGTTTCACGACATATCAGCCACACTTGGGCGTTTCCCAGCCACACTTGGGGGTTGCATTTCAGGACCATTTTGCAGGTTTTGAACCCCATTTGTCTGTTAAAACCCCATTTCAGATCGCCCAATCCCCGAAAATTTCCATGCATCAATTCCCATCTATTGAAACATCTCCAAGTGTCCATCAAATATGATATTGTTAATTACCATATAGATGGGATAATCATGGGATAATATAGTTATCATAGATGATTAAATCCACATTTTCGCATATTTACCCTCCGGTGCTCAAACGTGACATGGAAAATCCAGCATCTATATAGTTCGATGCTTTTCCCAGCTATTAACCTCCATTTTCGTTCCAAAAAATTCTCCCACACTTTCCCAAATGTTGAAAAACATTTCTATGGGATTTCTACAATGTGGGGCCCCCCAGTTATAAGTTGGTTTATAAACCCCATTAACCATAGTTATAAGTACAATAAACCATAGTTATTGGAGTCATAAACCAACTTAGCTATCTAGGGGGCCCCACATTCTATGGGATTTCTCCAATTTTTCCTAGGTTTTTTCCTTCCCAGCCGTGGCCTTCCAGTCGCGTCGGCCATTGCGGAGGTCCTGCAGGAGGCCTACCTGAGGCAGGTCGGGCTGAACTTTGGCTTGGATTTTTTCTGGAAATACCTGGATCAATTACCCTCTGGTAAACGTTTACATAACTATGGAATGATCCACCATGTTCTAGCTGGGTAAATCCACTATTTCGACTGGGTCATTTTCAAGTTCGCAAACTGTTAGTCATTACCAGAGGGTTATCATGTCCAATGATCATGTCAAAATTCCATCCAAGATCATTGGACTTTCCAATTATCACATTTCTCATTCCAGTTCTTCCAATGAGAGAAAAATCTTGGATGGATCCAAGTGGATGGGAGTCATGTCATGTCTTGAACTTTGGATTGGAATGAAAATTCATCATTGGAATGATTCACTGGATTTGGGTAAGGGAAAATCTACAGGAAACCATGGTTTTTACCATCAAATATAGGGTTTTCCTATAAATTTTCCCATCATCCAATTCTATGGAATGATACATTCAGTTTTTATTGATGATCCTTGGACTTGATGGGATTTCGCAAGTTTTTTGGAGATGTCATGGGACTTTTTGCTGGTGGTCTTTCCACATCTACGTTAGCTTGCCCTAGGGTAATAATGGTTCTGTAGAGAAATGGATATTACTTTTATGTGACCATGGTGGGATCACTATAAATATATGATTGTTAAAATACATAATGGGGTATAATAAAATTATAAATATGATAATGAATAATGAAATTCATAATTATACCCATGACTAAAAACGATTATTGTTATTTTCAGAATTGTAATTACCCAGTATACCGATTAATAATCATATAATAATAATAAATAATAATAATTAATAATAATAATAATAATAAACGTAAATCCATCATGTGACCTGGCAGAACGTATTTATGAGATATGTAATGACATGTATATATTGGAAATGACATGGGTCGGGTCCTCCCCGTCCCCAAAGGGCCCTTAAGGGCCCGTAAGGGCCCGCAATGCTATCATCCATGAAACAGCCACCAGAAAGTTCCACTTGTGGAAGGCAGCGCAGCGAAGTGTGGCAAAATTACGTTCTTGGAGTGAACCCGGGTCCTGCGCCCAGACTGAGCTGGAATAATAGGAGGTAATGTTAGACAGTGAAGAGCGCAGCAACAACAAACATAGTAGGAAATTGTGTTGTAAAGCCAAGATCGTAGCAGCAACAAACAGGAAGTTATGTTGGCAAGCCAAGAGCGTACCAGCGAGAATGTAGTGGGAAGTCATGTTAAACCGCCAAGAGCAACAAACATAGTAGGACGAAGTTATGGTCCAAAGCCAAGAGTGTAGCAGCAGAAACGTCGTCGGAAATTTTCTTGGAAAACCCAGAGCCTAGAAGCAAGAACGTAGTAGGATGCAATGTTGGAAAGCCAAGAGCGTAGCAGCAGGAACGTAGTCGGAAGTTATGTTGGAAAGCCAAGAGCGTAGCAGCAAGAACGTTGTGAGAAAGTCAAGAGCGTAGCAACAACAAACATAGTAGGAATATGTAGGAATAATATTTGAAAGCCAAGAGCGTAGCAACAACAAACATAGTATAGACCTGTATATGGAGCTATGTTCGAAAGTCAAGAGCGTAGCAGCACGAACGTAGCGGCAAGTTATGTTGGAAAGCCAAGATCCTAGCAGCAAGAACGTAGTAGGAAATTGCGTTTGAAAGTCAAGAGCGTAGCAACAAGTATAGGGAGCTACGTTGGAAAGCCAAGAGTGTAGCAGCAGGAACATAGTCGGAAGTTATGTTGGAAAGCCAGAAGTGTAGCAGCAAGAACGTAGTAGGAAGTAATATTTGAACGTCAAGAGAGTAGCAACAACAAACAGGAAGTTATGTTGGAAAGCCAAGAGCATCGCAGCAAGAATGCACAGCATTTTCATGGGAACTCATCTGTATTCCAGTCCTGTCTAAAGAGCTGTAAGGTTTGAACCTTCTCATCCCGTTCAGGTATCATGTCCTCTTGTACTCCCACTCCATGAAACCTGAAACCCCAACGCCCCTAATGCCCTTAAGGTAAAGCCCGTAAAGCCCGTAAGGCTTGTAAAGCCCGTAAAGCCCGTAAAGCCGTAGATAAGGGCCCGTAGGGCCCGTAGAGCCCGTTGGCCCGTTGGTGCTGGGAAGGGCTCTTCTCAATGACATTGGAAACTACGTAATTATTATTGATTGATATGATTTTTCAGTGCAAATCGAATCCGATGATATCAATTGGTAGTATTAATTGATCTTATTAAGTTATATATATTAGTCGTATATCATTCCAATGATTTAACAGGATCCGATGTATGTAATTACATATACAACGATTATATTACATGCATATAATATGTACTATCCAATGCAAAGATGACAATGATAATATGTAATTTATTGTTCATTCATTATAATATATGACAATGATAATATAATATACTATACTATAATATCATATCATATCATATAATATAATATAATGTATATCATATTATAGATTATAGACATACAATTTAATCTTCACCGGCCCGGGCTTCCGCGCCCACTGCGGATCCAGCCGCATCAGCGAAAGGGTCAGCGCGGCCGTTGCGAGGTCGCCCAGGCGCTCCTTTCCACTGGAAAATCCACTGGAAAACCATAGGAAAACCATAATGGTTAATAATGGTGATAATAATGGTTAATAATGGTTAATAATAGTTAATAGTTAGTTAATAATGGTTAATAATGGTAATTAATGGTGATTAATGGAAAATTGCCCATAGAAATAGATGGTTTACCTGGGTTTACCTATTAAAAATGGTGATTGTCCATGGCTATGTTAAATAACCAGATGGTATATGTACAAGGTGGTGCCCCCAAGATACCCTCTGGTAAACGTTTACATAGCAATGGAAAATCACCATTTTTAATGGGAAAATCCACTATTTCTATGGCCATTTTCCATAGCTATGTTAAATTACCAGAGGGTAGCTAAGTTGGTGAACATAACTCCAATAACTCTGGTTTTTCTTGGTGCTATATCTATAGTATTCATGGGCTTATTTCACCAATTTATAACTGGGTGGGGCACCACCTTGTAGGAAAATGGTGATCCAACTCAGAAAAATGGGGATTTCCATGGGATAGATTCATTTAGCTGATGAAATCGCAACAAGTTGGGGTTTCACATACCTGAAAATTTCACTATGGTGAACATGATACGCAAATAACTATATATAGTATTTTCTTGGGGGTTTAATAAACCACCAACATTCACATCACTGAAAAGCACCATCCCAGCTAGAGAAACTCTCCATTTCGGGTGAGTTCATGGGATCCTCCGTATGTTTCATAGTCGAGCTGTTTCTACTGGATTATCATCTGTGGGATTGAGAGAAAATATGGAATATGCTCATAGATTTATGATGAATCATGAAGCAATGTATTTTGATATATATATATATATAGTTATATTGCTAATTAGGTGCCATGATATCAGATATAACAATGTCACTATATTGGCCTATCTATTAGATTATTTTGGGATTATATATACTGAAATAGGTTATAGTAGGTTGTAAATGGCTATAATAGTTCATATGTGAGCCATAGTGATGAGATAAGTATGGGATAATAGTGTGATTGATATGGAACCAGGATGGATAATAGTCATCCCAGAGTACATAGTGAAATGTCAAAAAAACATCACGAAAACGGGAAGACGCTGATGAAAATCCCATGTTCCTTCTACTTCAGGATGATTATAATGGGTACAGCGACCCCAGAGTGCGTTAGAGCGGGAAACCTGGATGTGCTAAATATCATCCCCAAACCATCCTGGAAACATATGGTATAATTAAAATAAGTGTACAAAAATTAGATCATCCCCAAGTAGATAGAATCATAAAAGTTGTAAAGATAATTAAAGATACCCTCTGGGAATTTAACATAGCTGCTGAAAATCACAATTTTTAGTGGGTAAATCAACTATAAATGGGCCATTTTTCAATAGCTATGTTAGTTTACCAGAGGGTATTCCCATTTTTCCGAGGATTGATCGAATTTCCCACATTCCAGGATGACTACAATATATGTGTAATATGGATAAATCATTACAATACTTCGCTGACCTGAAATTGGGCTATTTTGGGACCGTCACTCCTACTACCGATCGTGCCATCGACGTCGCAGTGAAGTCGTTATAATAATCCCTTGGATTTGCTATGCAATATATAATTCCCATGCTATTGGTATAAAATCCATAACATTAAATGTATAATATTAACATAAGAATCGATTGGAAAACCATTTTTGAAAGGATTAGAGTTTATGCAGGACTAAGAAACATATCATACAAATAATGGAGATGACATTCATCCGAGAAAATCGTGAGAAACCCCACGGTGTTCTGGCCGGCCCCTTGTTCTGAGAGGATCTGCATTGGAAAATGACCTCCACCCTATCAGTTGCTGGAGGACTTTCCTCGAACAGCCTGGTGTTGCAACAGAAATACAAAGGATCTACCAAAAAATAAGTTGGATATTCACCCTTCTGCAGATGACCACAATCATCACACTCACCATAGTACCATAGAATCAAAATTCGCAGCAAAAAAACACCGTATCTCTCAAACGCTGATCGGAAAACTCGGCAAAAAACCAGTCCAAACATTGGGAATCTGGTCCGGTAGTTGAGCTACTCCATTCCCAAGATATCATGGGATTCCGGTGATGAATTTCACGTAGCTACAGTATGGAAAATCCCCCATGTTTTTTAATATGTGAATCGTCATAAATCATCTATAAATGGTCCATGTTCCAGTTCGCAAACTGTTTTCCATACCCAGTTTGCGAAGATTCAGGGAGGATATGATCATATGGTCTTTTTGAACCGCCTAGCAGCTGGACGCCAGCTTTTATGGCAGCTTTTATGGCAGTTTCTTTCAATCAACGTGAGCGATCGGCAAAACCTCAATTGAAAAATGCGATCTCGGGTCAAAGTTATCGTTTTTGGGACTTCACTATATCGTTTTGTTTTACCGTATATCCTGATTGCATCATTTGTATCCCCTGGCAAACTGCGTGCGGAAAGCCTTTTTACACCTCGACTTCAGCGTCTGAAGCATGTTTGACTGCCCAACGCTTTCTTTTGCAGCGCTCCAACTGTATGGTATGGTATGATACCTGTCAATGCAACTGCACATCACAGTTGCACCATCCTTTCTCAAACTCAGAAACAAGTTTGAATCCAGTTGTTGGAAGAAGTCTGGATGAGCTCTCACAGCGACATGCTCCATGCCTTTCATTCATTCCCCAGCGTCTGGGTAGCAAACCATCACCATGGTCCAATGCTTTTGCCTTGGCTATCTTCATCTAGATCGCCGAACCGGACCTGCAGGTGCAGGTGTGCCGGTGTGCCCGAGATGAACCAGGATTGACTAAAGCAATGGGGCGCCGCAAATATGCATAGCAGCGAAAAGATCGCAATAAGCAAGTGATAATATTCAACGGCAAAGAATCATCTCAAGAATCTTTTCGCATCTGGGCCATCCATCAGCGAAGGACATTTTGTCAAGAAATGGTTATCGTTTAGCTATCGTTTTCGTTATCGTCCAAAGAGGGAAACATTTTTGGAAAATGGCATGAACCAAGGAATGTTGGAAAGGAGGCCTGTTGTCATCGTCAATGCTTGCATGAAAGCGGGAAAATACAAAACACTCATCCGGAAGGCTTGAACAATGGCGAGACAAAAAGAGCATCCAAATCCAGCTAGTTACCACATACTGTAGCAATACGTGCTTGGATACAAAACTGTTTGCAATAATCAGAAAGAAAGAAATTTGCCAGGATCAAGAGTGTCAGCATACTTTTGCACATCTTCCGTTGTGTGAGCTGGTCATGACGTATACCCCACAACTGAGAGCCTAGATGATCTAGATGCTTCTAGAACAGGTGTCCGCCATCATGTCATGTACACCACCCCTTCACTTCCCACAATGCTTTTACATATAATATGATTCCCAGGTTATCGTTTTTGGGACTTCAATATATCGTTTTACATATCAAGATGCATATTTTTACATACGAGAGCGCTCGAATACATACCTCCTACACGGAGAGTTTAGCCTCTTGCTCACGTCATCAATCCTGAAGAAAAGGCGTCGAATTGGTGTCCCCGGTTATATCTGGTTGGTGGTTTCAACCTACCCTCTGAAAAATGATGGAGTTCGTCAGTGGGAAGGATGACATCCCATATATGAAATGGAAAATGAAATTCATGTTCCAAACCACTAACCAGATATACTTTCCGTTCAAATCGTCCATCCAAACTCAAGCAGTCAGTCGTTCCATGTTCCTTGTCGCACAAGACGCGGGTCCCCAGCAGCAAGCGTTGTTCTGCCTCCGGCAATGATGAGCTTTTGGGAAAATGGAGGGGCCGTTGTGGTAGATTAGTGTTCATCATAGGTTATTCATAGAAAATAATGGTTTATTAACAATCAATGGTTAACAATGAATGGGTTATCAGCAACAATTGGAATCATTCACCCATTGATTGTTGAATAGAAGTTACCCAACAATCAACCACAAAAAATGGGGGTCGACTCTACCTATTGGTTGGTTTTGGGGGAACCCCTTCAACAAATCACCCAATGAGAAAAGGGACATCTATCCTGTTCTTATCCCATGGATCATATCCTCCCTATGTGGTTTATTTAGCCATAAGAAAAAGGGTACATTATCATCCATTATCATCCCATGATTATCCCTATACATTGACATCCCATAATCATGGGATGACAATAGAAGTGCAAGATAATCATTTACCCTCTGGTTATTCAACATAGCCATGGGAAATGGCCCATAGAAATAGATGGTTTGCCTATTAATAGCATGGTGGATCTTTCCATGGCGAACTGTTAGTCATAACCAGATGGTATATCCAATTATCATCTTACTGGTGCTAAACGTAGGGAATTTTCGGGAATGATCCACTGGCTAACAATCAATAATAATCCCAGCAACCCCGTTCCCAACCCATCCAGCAACCCTACGTTTAGCACGCACCAGTAAGTCATCTAAATGGCCCATTTATAGATGGTTTACCTATTAATAGCATGGTGGATCTTTCCATGGCGAACTGTTAGTCATAACCCAATGGAATATCCAATTAATCATCTTACTGGTGCTAAACGTAGGGAAATTTTCGGGATTTATCCACTGGCTAACTATCAAATAATCCGCAGCAACCCCCATTCCCCAACCCATCCAGCAACCCTACGGTAAAACGCACCAGTAAGTCATCTAAATGGCCCATTTATAGATGGTTTACCTATTAATAGCATGGTGGATCTTTCCATGGCGAACTGTTAGTCATAACCAGATGGTATATCCAATTATCATCTTACTGGTGCTAAACGTAGGGAATTTTCGGGAATGATCCACTGGCTAACTATCAATAATAATCCCAGCAACCCCGTTCCCAACCCATCCAGCAACCCTACGTTTAGCACGCACCAGTAAGTCATCTAAATGGCCCATTTATAGATGGTTTACCTATTAATAGCATGGTGGATCTTTCCATGGCGAACTGTTAGTCATAACCAGATGGTATATCCAATTATCATCTTACTGGTGCTAAACGTAGGGAATTTCGGGAATGATCCACTGGCTAACTATCAATAATAATCCCAGCAACCCCATTCCCAACCCATCCAGCAACCCTACGTAAAACGCACCAGTAAGTCATCTAAATGGCCCATTTATAGATGGTTTACCTATTAATAGCATGGTGGATCTTTCCATGGCGAACTGTTAGTCATAACCAGATGGTATATCCAATTATCATCTTACTGGTGCTAAACGTAGGGAATTTTCGGGAATGATCCACTGGCTAACTATCAATAATAATCCCAGCAACCCCATTCCCAACCCATCCAGCAACCCTACGTAAAACGCACCAGTAAGTCATCTAAATGGCCCATTTATAGATGGTTTACCTATTAATAGCATGGTGGATCTTTCCATGGCGAACTGTTAGTCATAACCAGATGGTATATCCAAAGATGGTATATCCAATTATCATCTTGCATCGGTTTTTTGATTCACACCGCCTCCGGAAGATTCTTCCGCCGCTCCAGCTCCCACTTGAGATCCGACACGTCCCACGCGGGATCGCAGTCCTAGAAACTACCCGGGACGCGGAGCCGCGGAGCCGCGGAGCCGCCAACGACCAACTTTGTTTTGGTTGTTTTATCTCATGTTATATCTAGTGTTGGTTAACTAACTAGTTGTTATATAAACTATGTGTTATATGTGTTATATATGTGTTATATCATATATATATATATATATTAAGTCGGTTATATCTAGATGAGTGTTGGCTTTACGGTCGATGTATCGAACATGGAAAGATCCACCATGCTATTAATAGGTAAACCATCTATTTCGATTAGGGCCATGGCTTAACCATGGCGAACTGTTAGTCATAACCAGATGGTATTGCAAATATGTCTGTCATTTCCCCCAAGAATTCCACTCGCCTTCAGTCATCTCTCCATTGCAAACAAAAACAATGTTTACCCTGGTGGGTCACATCCTTATTCTCCGAATATATGTCTCCTATGTAATTAGAATAGCGATCGCATTTCTGCATATTTCCACATAGTTCCACATATGTTCACCATGTTGAATTCTCCCTTCAAATCAGTAAACATCGTCATGTTTAGGAGGATTAAGCACCAGTTCATTGCGGAACTATCATGGTGGTGTTGATCCTCCGCAATGCTTCTCCCCCGTCCAGCGTGGCAACTTCTTCTGAGGAAAGTCCCGACAGCACTTGGACACGCAGAGCCATGGCTGTGATGGGAGGGGTGGGTCACCCTGACAATTGGGCAAATGGTTTTCACCCCTATAAGTGGCATGGCTTTTTTGAAGCACCTGGTGATGAAAATTGAAGCTAAATGGCAGAACCATGGGCTCATCAAGCTAAATGAATCATCAACGTGGATTTTGGTTCAGTTTTCAAGGGAGTCTACCCGGCTTCAAAGCCCGCGTTGGAGAGTTCAAGGCCATACTTTCTCTCAGCTGTCCATGTTTTTCAATGGGCTCCTTTCATCTGGAACCTTGACCAGGGGGTTCATGTGGAAACTTCCGGCTGTGATGCTGTCATGACATGGGCAAGCCCATCCACAACTTGCTTAGCCTGGAGCCATGAAAGCAAAGTCAGGCTTGCCAGAAATGAGTTGAAATGAGTTGAGCCAGAAGTCTAAAGTCAGGAGGTCAAAAATTCTAAAGTCAGGAGGTTAAAGCCAGAAGTCTAAGATCTAAAGTGCAGCTCTGCTCAGATCTTCCACACCCCGGACCAAACTCTGCCCAACGACCCAAAAACACCTGTCTTCACCGCGCTCAGTGGGGGAGCACTGGCAAATATCCGTGACCTTCAAATTCATCGACTAATAATGACCCGCAGCTATGTAGTTATCATAGAAAACCATGGAAAACCATGGAAAACCATAGAAAACCATGGAAAACCATAGAAAACCATAGAGAACCCAGTAATAAACCGACTTAGCTAACGTTTGCGGACCCTGCCAACCGCATCAAATCCCACGATGAGATCCGTTACATTTCAGCAGGATTTCCAGCAAAGCGTTGGCCTTTTTGGGGAGTCAGCCCCCATAGGGGTGTACTCCCCCAATCGTCATAATCTGATACCCTCTGGTAATTTAACATAGCTATGGAACATCACCATTTTTCATGGGAAAATCCACTATAAATGGCTATTTTCAATAGCTATGTTAAATTACCAGAGGGTACTTCAACTGTACCCCCTCAATTAGTCACAGCCGTAAACGGGGTTGTCATAAATTTGAGGTGTTTTCATCCCTAAAGGATGGTGTTTTTTATCGCCTACTTCAATATGTAAAACTTCATCCCTATTGCTTATCATGGCAATACGGGAAATTGCCTTTGGCGTATATCCTATATATCCTTATTTGTAAAAATAGCTATAGCCAATATTTACAATGATCCAATTTGTAAAAATTTGCTATGTAACATAGATCATTGTAAAAATAGCTATAACATCCAAAAATTTCTGGCGTATCATCATGGCTGGTTAAAATCCATTTAGATGCTACGGTTTCAATGGTCCATGGCTATCCATTTACTTCGATGATAAATTCATGATTTGCCTCGAAGTAAAACGGTGATGGCAACCAGGATTCCACGGATCGCAAGCTGTGAAAAAATCATGTCGGTAAATCATCATGAAAACATCAAACGATGTTTTGGGGCCATGTTTCTTCCAATTCGAAAACTTTTTTAATGGCGTTTGGAGTCATGACTTCGCATGAAGAAAGCCTGGTACGACTCTGTTCACCCTGAAAAAGTAGTAAATGATAGTGACTAAATGGATGTTCCTCCCACATTGACCCATAAGCGACGGCTGGCGCACCCTCCAAAAGACTCAGGGCCATCTGAGACGACGACTCGTCCCAACGGAAGGCCCAGGTAGAAGTTGGCTTAGCATGAATCGTCTAGTTCTATCCCCCTAACCATGGTTAAATATGGTTAAATCAACTTACTGTATGTACATCGAATCAACTTAGCTATCGTTTGGAGACCTTACCTTGGTTATTCGTTATTTGTTCTACAACCGTGGGAATATCTTGGAGTTGACGGTTGACTCTCGTCAGTGTCATCCGAATAGACTCTCAGACCACATCTGTGGCTATCCCAAACTAGGGCTACAAAAAAAGAACATCCAAGTCATGGATGACCAGACATTTAAAAATTTTCGTACTGAAACAACCGTGGTGACGACTGGGGTACCCCCAGGGCTGCGAAACGGGCTTCCCACCAAAGCCCACTGTATCAGCTTCATAGTGCCACGAATGCCAGACGCCTGGCTGATGGGACCCCCATTCCAATACTCCTAAAAGCTCCCATATAATCCCATATAGCATATATCTTATCCACCATGTTTTACATGGTTTTTACCAGTAGCATAGTTTCGTTGGGCCCACAAGTTGGCCGAAAAGTCTGCCCAGACAATTTGGATGAGGAGCTTCAGAACTTCAATCCACTGTAGTATCTACTGGATTGTCGCCCATCTCTAAGTATTTAGCGTCCCCCATTACGCTTCACAGGACAAGCACCCCATGCAAAGACCTCAAGTTGGGTCGATCGATGTCATCCATAAGGTGAGGTCTCCCCCAGTCACAAGTTGCTTTATAAATCTCATTAGAATAGTCTAGTCTAGTGATATTCCCCATAAACATCCATAAACCAAGTGATGAATTCACCAAGTGAATTCTTTTCGCGTCAACATCTCGTTCACTCGTTCGTTGGCCGGGCTCACCTTGTTAAATTGCCTAATTTGGGGGTCTCAAATATATGAATTGTTTTTTTCAAACCATACTTGGGATGGGTGGATCAGTAGAAGATTTTTTTTGAAAAATTACCTCGGGGTGGAATCTCCAAGTCGGGTTGAAAAATACCATTTTTCTGGGTCATCCAAAGAGGTCGTAAGGTTGGGTCGTTGGGGTCCCAAAATCACCTACAATGTGGGGCCCCCAAACGGCCACGAAATCGCAACAAGTTGGGGTTCACATAACTCCAATTTCACTATGGTTTATGATACTTACAAATCACAATAGTTATATCATGGGGGGTTTAATTCAACCAACATTCACATCACTGGGGGGCCCCACATTGTAGAAACCTCCATGTGATTTCTGTGTCCAAGGATCTCATGGGAATCCCAATAATTTCACGGCCAGCCTCGACGTCCAGGACCCCAGGGAGGGGCGGCTACGAGCCACAGCGTCACGAGCCACGCGGCGATTGTTCAAGGTCCGTCCCAGTGATGGTGGGCCTACCATGGGGATGGTAACCATAGCATCCATAAATTGTTGGTGATGACTTGGAGATGGTTTCGCTGAATTCTTGAGTGTACCATAGTTGATATATGTTAATATGCATGAATATGCTCAGAATGATATTCCGAATGAAAATGAAGTGATAGGAAGAATAAGATACTACTGATTACTTGGTACAATCATTGGTATATTGGAAAAAAAATATTATTACCATATCAAAACCCATCGTTTGATGGCCTCAAAGCAGATGAAACAAACAAAGCCACGTTGTACAAGGCGAAATAGTAGTTATATGGCTGGTTGGTGGTTTCAACCCCTCTGAAAAATATTAGTCAGTTGGGGTTACTATTCCCAATATATGGAAAAATAAAAATTCTGTTCCAAACCACCAACCAGATATGGTTGAAGAGACCGAATCTGTGAGAACCTGATTTCCGAAACGCAACATGGATGTAGCCAGTTTGAGACCCTGAAATCGCGGCCAGATTTTTTCGCGGAGTGCACGGGTCGTGAAAACACGATTGTCGTACTGCCGTTGAATTGTTCTGCTTGGAGCTTCATTTGAAACCCTCGGATTCCGGTCCGTGTGCGTCGACTTTTCATGTTGGCGGAAAACTGAGCGAAACAACGGTTTTGGTGACAAAAATGTCATGTTCAGTGATGATTTTTTCCTGGAATTTGAGACTCAGCCAGACGATGTTTCTGGAAAAATCACTGGTCTTGACTCATGAACATGTTACCTAGCAAAGTGGATTCGTCTGAAGATTTATCATCAGTTTCCTCATTAAAAATAATCATTTTCAGACAAACCCGTATAACTTGCTGAAACCCTTTGTTTCCATCAAATTCCAATTACTGGTCCTACAAGGGACTTTTCACGCAAACAAGTCGAGGCCCACAGGCGCTTGATGTCGTTGGCGGTCCATTTGCTTTGCTGGAGAAATCTTGGCACATATTCGCAGGGTGTTCTGTTTCAATTCTTTCGGAAAAATCTGCTAGAGATCTTGGATTTGATGTCTACCCTCTGGTATTCAACGGTTTGCTATGGAAAATCACCATAGGGAAATAAATCATCGAACTAAATGACCGTTTTCCATAGCTGTCTGAGTTCACTGGAGGCTAAATACCATGAGATATGTCCAAGATGTCTACACCCATCATTCTGCCGACAATAAAAACATGTTGCGCAATCTGGGGCGTGGCTCAAAAAAAATGCGGATGAGAATGGACCTTTCATGAACCAATATATCAAGCAATAGTTACTGGTTGGTGGTTTCAACCCTCTGAAGAATATGAAAGTCAGTTGGGTTGATTATTCCCAATATATGGAAAAATGTTCCAAAATGTTCCAAACCACCAACCAGGTTAAGTGGTGGTTTACGATCGCCATAGTGATGCTCTAGAGAGTTGCCTGCCAAAGAATCAGGGATTACCCCAACTTATGCCAGAAACAAAGAGGCGTCATGACAAACAGCCTGGGAATCGGCCCGGGGATAGCCCATGTTGTAGACAAACCCATTGAATCCGATTTTCTCAAACGGCCATCAATTTGAGAATTTATATATATATATATATGTACATATATATATATATATACATATGTATACATATATTAGCAATATCAAATGGTGTTTTTCGAGACTAGGGCACCCCTTATACGGTCCAATGGTCTACGATCATTTTCCCTAGATCGAAATGGCGACTGCTATTTAAGGAAAATCCTTGCTCCAATTTCCTTCAAGGTGGTGCCCCCAAGATAGCTAAGTTGGTTTATAACTCCAATAACTATGGTTTATAGGTGATATATCTATAGTTAATGGGCTTATAACCAATTTATAACTGGGTGGGGCACCACCTTGTTATTTTCCCCTGATCTAAAATAAAATGTCTTTTTTTTCCAAACAGGCACAAATTGCTATGAATTACCATATCTACCAACAAAAATGTGAAACCATGTTTGCCACATTGCCTGTTGAATACCTACTTCAAATAATCATAAATTGCGGTAGCCTGCTGTAGTCAAACCTAGTTTGCTGGAAATCCCCCCAATCGCCAAGGATTTCCTAGCCATGGCTTAAAGGGCACCGTTCACGGTACAATGTGGGGCCCCCGTGGCCACGAAATCGCCAAGTTGGGGTTCACATGATACGCAAATTTCACTATGGTGAACATGATACGCTTAAATAACAAACTAGTATTTTCTTGGAGGTTTAATTCCACCAACATTCACATCACTGGGGGGCACCACCAAGGTATATGTCCATAATACATCCCAATGATCATCCCAGTTTTTTTGTTCTTCGATTCACTGAACTCTAAAAAAAAAAAACATAAAATCCCCGGCATCAGGCCATTTTTTGAAGTTCGATATGAAAATTATGACATGTCCCATGGATTGGGAAAATTCTGAAACGAAAATCCATGGGTTTCCATGGTTTTTCCCATCAATTTCCATTAATTGTCCCATCCATTGATGATATTTTCCCATGAATTTCCATGAATTTTCCATTTTCCCATGTTTTCCCATCCATTTTCCCCATGGAATTTTATCGGCTACATAGCCCAGCCCAGAAAATACTCGTCTCTCCAGCGCCACGGCTACTCGTTCAGCTCATCACGCCACCGGAGATGTGGTAAAGACCTCGATCACATCACGGCACTAATCACTAATCGGACTGGGGGGGTCTGCAGTGGGAATCTCTGGGGAAGATGGTTATTGTTGTATATAATATATATATATATAGAGAGAGAGAGAGATTGTTGTATATATATATATAGTAGTGTTATAGTGTTATTAGTAGTTGTTATTATCTTCACTATTGATTATTGTTGTTCTTGCTACTGCTATGATTACTGCTATTATGATTGAATTTGATTGTTATGATTCTGATGATGACTATTATGATTATTGTGATTATTATTATCTTATTTGATCAGCAAGTCAATGTGGCTTCACTGGGGATATAAAATGGCATATTTCATTCACGGTAGATTGACATCGATATGGCTGGCTCATCGCCGACCGGATGGTGCCGTGATCCCGGAAGGTCAGTGATGTTTTGTCGGGGTCAAAAAGAGGGAAAATGGACTTCAGGGTGTTATGACTGGTGCCCCCCCCAGTTATAAATTGGTGAAATTAAGCCCATGAATACTATAGATAGATCATGATATATCACCAACAAAAACCATAGTGAAATTGGAGTTATTAGTTCACCCCAACTTGTTGCGTTCTCGTGGCCACGGGGGCACCACCTTGTGTTATGACGACTCGCACCTCATTTTCGAACGGTGTCCCACCGAGTCCAACCTTTTCAAACACTGCAGTGGTGCCCCCAATTTGGGATGGTTGAAACCCTATGAATAATGGTGGTTTTATGGGAAAATCATAGGAAAACCATAGGAAAATGGTGGTTATCCCCTCTGGTAAACATACAAAAAACTATGGAAAATCACCATGTTTAATGGGAAAACTCACTATTTCGACTGGGCCATGTTCAATAGCTATGTTAGTCATTACCAGAGGGTAAATTGGGACCTAAAAAAAATCCGGAGGATCCACAAACGATGCCAAGTCCAGGTGTTTTCATTCGAAAGTGCCAGCAGTCCTGGCTTCTTCAAATGTGCTTCATGTGATAAAACCAATAATCACCTACCATTTGGGGATGATTCTTACCACCCACTTATGTCATTCAGGATGTTTTCTTGTTGGGGCCAATGAAAATTCACACCATCAACCTGCCATCACCTGGCTATGGATCAGCTCATCGTGGTTGCTGTGAAAACACCACACCCTAGCTAGCTAGTGGCTGGATGCTGATCCACCACCAAAAGAGGATGTGACTGGATATCCTCTCACCGGCCCATGGGTTTTCGCAAAAATGGGCTGATGCCCCACTTTGTAGAACAGGTTTCTTGGAACTCTAAGATTCAATCCAGTCAAAAACCTTAGGCTTAGCCACAAGTTCTCCAGCTTTCCCCAGTCCCATGGCCGACTCCCAAGGTTCGGTCAATTTGGGGGGTTGATTCCCCTGGTTTTTCACCAGCTATAAATGGCAAAAACCCTCCAGTGGTCAAAAAGACACCGGCTATTGAAACTGGCCCATTTACAATTGATTTACCTAAACAGGGTCATGTCCCATAGTTATGTTAGTTTTACATTAGTTTACAAGATGATATATATATATATATATATCACAGCATTTTTTTCGAAGATCACGAAGCAATGACCTCAAGAACCGCGGTGCCGGACCGGTGAAGAAGAGCTGCAGCAAAACAAGGATCCCATGTTCATGCGATGATCCTGGCTGGGGATCAAAATCGGTGTGCAGCCAAACCTCTGCCGGAACTCAATGTAGAACAAGGAAACGAAAAAAACTGAAGAAACAAAACAATTTTTGGTAGACAAAGTTGAAGAATGTTGAATTTGATCTGGCTGTGTCCAAAAAGTGGCGTGTTATCATCAATTGTAATTAGCAATTTTGAAGTGAAAAAAGATGCCAATGAAGCACAAGTACAAAAACGAAGCGTGAAACCCAAATGGAGAAGGCGCCGACCCAGGTGAATCCTGATCTCCAAATAAACAACTCAGGGCATGTGTGGAGATCTGTCTGGATACACCGAACGCGCCTCAGAATGTCACATATCTTTTCAGGTTTTGTCATGCTTTTGGTTCAACGATTGAAAGCTACATTGCCCTGTCGCCCCTAAAAAACCACTAGTGGTTGGTGGTTGACCTACCCCTCTGAAAAATATGAAAGTCAATTGGGATGATTATTCCCAATATATGGAAAAATAATGAAAAATAAAAAATGTTCGAAACCACCAACCAGCCATCATAAGCCCATTAAACCACCATTAAACCACCATTAAACCACCATCTCCATGCTATCCCATTCGCATCAGCGAAGGGTGCTGTCTCAAACCTCTCCCTGGATCTGGATCGGAGCTTTCCAAAGTAGGGGCTATCCCTTGATCGATCCTACAATGTGGGGCCCCCCAGTGATGTAACTTGGTTTATAAACCCCATGATATAACTCTAGTTTAATACGTACCATAAACCAGAGTGAAATTGGAGTTATGTGAACCCCAACTTGTTGCGATTTCGTGGCCACGGGGGCCCCACATCGGTTTCGGGGTAACGCCATGACTCAGGGAACCTCCAAGACGACTCGGAACGTTGCCTGCCAGTCGATATGAGGCTTGGTGTTGCGTACATCGGTGGCCGTGATGATGATACCGGTCTCCTGACGTCGAACGACGTGGCACTGAGCATGACCTGAATGGGGGCTACTAATGAGGTTTCTCAATGGGGTTGCTCAATGGGGATATGCTGGGGATATAAACATCATAGTCTGAAAGTATTGATGAAGGTCATGTTCATACCCATACTGATGGGTTTTAATAAACGTTCCCACGAACCAACCGTTTGAACGTCAATGGTTGCATCATCCCATTTCCAGGGGTATACAGGATACGTATACCCAATTTCATGCACACTGATTTAGGGATGGTTTCTTCTTGGGCTTAACACATTCAGGAAAATGACACCCTCCATCCAAATAATATGATGACCCTATCATCTGTGGGGGTTCCAAGACTATTTTTTCCGTCAAATAGCCGATTAGAAAAGGGTCTGTCTTACTTGGGGTCATGGTGATGTCAGTTAAGACCTACAGAGAATCATGGGTTGATTCACCAAAAACGGGATACCCGGCCTCGCCAGTATTCCTGTACTACCAGTACTAGAGGTTGCTAGCTGAATTGTAAGTTCTGATAAAACAAAATATCAGGAACGATGATACCGTGGATGGAAGAAATCCTGCGCCTGATGCTGATGATGATGATGATGATGATGATGATTATGATGATGTCGATGTCCAACCACCGTTCCCCTGAGTTGATTCTGCATTGTGAAAAAACAGTGTGGTAAAAATAACCCTACTGCTTGATTGTTTCGATCTATCTTTGTTGGCCAGATTGAATTCTTATTGCTTAAAACATCTTAAAACCATGTTCAACCCAATGGTCTATTGGTGTTGAACAGTTTCACTTCGTGAAACCCAATGTTTGCTTCTGAAGACAGGTAAATCCCGCGTTTACATACCGAGAATCCACCTAATTGGATCATGTGTAGATCATTTCCAAGGGAACCAACCATGGAAAAATCAAGTTCTTTTGTAGTTTCTGATTTGAAATTTACACACCAATTCATGGTGAAATTCATTGTAAAATTCACAACAATTATGGTAGTTCTTTGGTAGTTTCATGGTGAATTTCCATTAAATCAACATAAATCAACATTTGTCTATAGCGGATAGCCCCCTGTTTTTACCTCTAGCCACAGCCCACGAAGCGACACGAAGCGCCTCAATCACGCCATCGAACATCACCTCCAAGATCTTCAGCGTTTGGGTCACCTTGGCAAGAAGACTTCCCACGGAGGAGAGTTGTTTTGGTTGTTTTATCTCATTTTATATCTAGTGTTGGTTAACTAACTAGTTGTTATATAAACTATGGTTTATATGTGTTATAATATGTATATATATATATGTGTGTGTGGTTGGTGGTGCAATAACCATCTTGAAAAATATGAGTTCGTAAATGGGAAGGATGACATCCCACATGGAAAATAAACAATGTTTGAAACCACCAAACAGATATGGTTACCTTCTGGCAACAGATGGTTAATACATGTTGTTAACCCAACTAAATGATTATTGGTTAATACCCTCTGGTAAGCTAACATAGCTATGGAAATTCACCATTTTGAATAGGTAAATCAACTATAAATGGGCCATTTTCCATAGCTATCTTATATTACCGGAGAGTAGTATAATCCCGAATTCATATTGGTTAGTATAATCCCCGAACTAATAATTTCAGGTCCTGTTGGAGATATCTACCATATATAAGGCCTATGTTTTAGGGCTACGTAAGGGGATACTCCCCAAACAATCTGGCTTTATATGGTACTGTACCTCCATTTGAGGTTGCTGAAACGGCCATTGAAATAATCTGAGTCCACGTGAACTACTTCAAACTTGAGATGTTTCTTCCTTTAGTGTCCATGAAATGTTGGTTATTCCTTGATGTATATCTGTATATCCAACGCCACAAAAAAGAAAACGTGGAGCCGGATAAAACGTGGAGCCCGTAATGCAAAAACTACCATTCATAGGATCGACAAGAGATTCTTAATCGCTTAAAAATGGAGATGTTTCCATTTATATACTCAGGATTACTCAGGTAATGGATAATCACTGCAGTTATACAATCAGAAACGATTTCTGCCTCTAAAAATGCGGATGTTCCAGCCGTATTAGATTACTGAGGGGTGCACCGCGTCCTGGCTCTCCCCCTGTCAGACATGTGTAGCCATAGCCAAGCACTTAGATCACCCAAGCACTTTGGAACTCAAAAACCATACTTACTCTACTTGATCGTTGTTCTTCTGAGCCCCAGAGAAATGACTGGAGTCCTTAGGGGCCAGCATCACCAGCATCACCATCATCATCATCATCATCATCATCAGCAGCATCATCATCATCATCATCATCATCATCATCATCATCATCTTTCCAAGTAGCATTGAAACTTGAAATATGTTCGCCCCAACCAGAACGCTGCACCATTTCCAACAAAAGATATCAGTAATGGAGCCAACATGGTCTGTCAGACCCGAAACTATGGTTTCGCGCGCAGCCTCAACATATAACTGTCGGTTTGAAAGAGGCAACGAAGGGCACATTAGGATAGACTATCAGGATAGACTGTTCCTTCAACAGCATTTCTTCTTACTGTGAGATCAAATGTGCCACCCCCTCGACGCATTGTCAATTTAACTATTTAACTCCAACTGTTGCTTCTATGGGATCGGATGCCCCACCCTCTTTGAACAGCAAGATACACTGTTCATTTCAAATATAACTGCAACTGTTGTTTTCATGGGATCAAATGCGCCAACCACTGTAAAAGGCAGGGAACGCAATACTGAGTCAGATACTGCTCGCAACGTCAGGGTTGGAGACTACAACAATGTTGTTTCAACAGGGGGAGGTTCCTAAAAAAATGGGGGGATCCCCGAGTCACGATCGGTTTCAATACTTAAATGGTCGAATTTAGGGCTTTCCGTAAATGGGCTATCCCCATTTAATGGATGGTTATAATGGAAAATCCATCTATAAATGGATGATTTAGGGATACCCTCGTTCAACCCCAACGGCGTTCTCGAACGGCATGCCAAGGAGCGATCCCTTCGCCGTGCACCGCGCAATAGGTCTCAAAGTCCTGGAATGGGCTGATGACTGAATGCGAAACTGGCTCTATTTGTCCATGGATTTTCCATATAAGCCATCCATTAAAAGTTTGGGTGTACAAGGCCATATGGAAGTTGTCCTAAGATGGGGATTCCCAAGTCACCATGGGTTTCGGTACGAAAATGTTTGGTCCAGTTTTGGATACCTTCATTAATATGTACCCTCTGGTAAACTAACATAACTATGGAAAATTACCATTTTTAATGGGAAAATCCACTATAAATGGTCATTTTCAATAGCTATGTTAATTTACCAGAGGGTAATATGTATTCCGGTGATGTTCCGTGAAAATCACACAACTCAAAACTCAACTTTTCACAACGCTGAAAGAAGGTCCAATAGGTCCAATCTCAAAGAAGTCCCACCCCCACCACTTCTCGGGTGGTTCGTGGTTGTACAACACGTTGTACTCTTCCACGCAAGGGGAAAGTGGTGACCACAGGCCAGACAACATTGCGTGAGCCATCCATACTCTGCAAGACCACCTCTGTAGGTTCACCCCATAGTTGGGGTTGCTATCTAAGTCACAGGGCTGTGCTTCCGTGACAAGATCCAGTGGTTGAAAACCTTCGCATTCAGCTGTCTGAGTTTCCCACGTTTGGGGGCCGCACTTTGAAACAGCTTGGGCTGTATCAATTTGGAGATATAGCTGCAGTGGCCCACATATTGCCAGGAAAATGTGCAAAAGGGAGCGGTGGCATTCTTGAACCGCAGATGTTGCATGTGCTGGGCATCCGCCTACACTCCTCGGAAAGAGCACCGACTTCAAGGTATTCGCGCCATCCCTCTTGGGCGGGCCTGTCATGGTAGGATCCCTTGGCATGGAGGTACATAACCACCTTGGAGGTATGCGTACGATTGAAACTGCAATAAGACCAAAGCTCCTAAAGAGTCGGGTAGATGACGAAAACCGCCCTCTTTCACGATTTGCAGGTCGTCAACGTTGAAGGTCGACGGATCTGTTGCAACTCCAGTGGAAACAATCTGAAGGCGGTGATGTTGTGGGTCCAACTGCATAAGTTGTTGGCGGACGATCCTTGAAACTCTCGAGATCTTGATGAGTGAGTCGGCAACAACCAGGCCTGCAATCAACAAATTTTGTGCAAGCACTGCGCAATGAGAAATACGGAAATACGAATTGACATCAAGCCAAAGAGCACCAAAATGGCTACGGACAAACACTGAAACCAAAAACAAAAATCTTGGTAGAGCAATAGAAAACCATCCCTAAGTTTACCATAAACTATCAAAATATGGCTGTTTTATGACATCGTTTTACAAACATAAAGGCAAAATCCAGGTAGGTTCCATTCATATCCCACTACCAGAAGCATTCAAAAAGAGTATTCAAGATAACCATTAATAGTCCTACTCATGGAATAGTAGTGGGATACTCATGGATGGTGCCGTTATAATAAGTTATATAATTATTCATTATTGCTACTGTAGTATCAATTGTTGATGCTTATTCTCCACATAAGTTCTGCGATCACGAATCTGACATGTTTACCCCCATCAACTCTCAAAAATGATCGGAAGTGAGCCACGATTTTGGGCCGAAATCATCCCATGTCTTGCATGAAAACTGAAAACTTGTAGATTCTCCTGTGAAAATCCATGAATCTTGTTAGAAGTCCAGGCTTCTTGGAAATATACCACAGTAGCAGGTAGCACTCCTCATAGCAAATTCGTCCATCCGAATCTTCGTCGCACAGAGTGAAGAATTGCATGTACCTTCATGCAGAACGCTTGAAAGTTGGCTGGTGAATGCCATGATTTCCTGCAGATGCTTTCTCTTAAACTCAATCGAAAGAAGTATCTTTTTGCCAAGTCGGGTAACGCAGTTTCTGCCATTCTTCGCGCAGCAGATTCTCCATTTTCTGTGGATCTAGCAAGGGGAAACTTAGGAATATCACCTTCAACAAATCCAGGTGCCTAAGATTGAAGGTTCCTTGCAGGGAAAGAAGGTCGTTTCATGTTCAGCCATTGTGGATGCGCACTCATCGGGGGCTTCGGTTGTGCTCGTGGACACCTGGTGCTCGATTTCCGAGACAGCGCTGGTGGCTGTGGAGCGAAGCAAAATGGAAGCAAACTTAAGTGGTTTGTACTTAGATGTCCAATGAATATGAATTCGTAGACATACCGAGCTTCGTGGTAAACGAACCTTCCTAACAACTGCATGCCCTTGCCATTTTCACCACCAAACCCCAAGCGGATGGACAACCTTCAGGATGCACCTGAAGTAAGCCACAAGGTGTTCCTTACTTAGCTAAGTTGCTGTAGAACTAGACCAACTACGATCTATTTCACAGAATGATAGATACATAATGATAGATATCATGATGATGATATCATGATAGATATATTTATATATTTTCAATGATTGATCAACCAACAAAGATGTCACAGTTTGGGGGCCTGGAAAAATGGCCCATGCCCTGCCCCCTTTTTGTGGACCCAACCATGGTGCTCGTCTGCCATGAAGGGCGCCTGGTCCACTGCCGCACATTGGATTCCCAGAGGGTATACCCTCTGGTACACATACAAAAAACGATGGAAAATCACCATGTTCAATGGGTAAATCAACCATAAATGGGCCATGTTCATCCAGTTTCAAGTTCGCAAACGATTACAGTAGTCATTACCAGAGGCTAATCTGATATTTACCTAGCTCTTTAAATCAACGAACTAGATTGCCATGTTCAAGTTCGCAAAGTGTAAGGGAAAACCAGGCCGGGTATCAGGGGGATATCATGAGGAAATCAGCAATCCCGCCCCGCCCATCCCTGTCACATGTGATTTCATACATTCCACCGTGCTTCTGAGGGAATGTAAAACATTAATATTGATGGGGGAGGGATTAATCATGATATCTTAAAGGTATACACAATATAAATACATGTTTATGTATATATATATATATATATGTATGATTATATCATGAACCACTAATATTCTTTGGTGAACCCGGTATGATTTATATATTCTTGACCCCAAATGGTAACTTTTGTATGGCATGGTATCGCTGGTTGTTGGCCCACCTTCGAATTCCAAGGTCACTGGTCAGAGTCAAAGTCTGTCAATGGAGGAGTCAACCAACCTCCCAAAAGGAGTTACCTATCTAAGATGGTTGAGAAGTTGAGAAGCCCTAGACAACCTCTTAATAAAATTTAATACATAATAGCCATATATTCCTAGAACCCCAAGTTTTTCATAGCAAACAAAAACTCTTTTCGCTACCATTATCTGGAGGTTTCCATAAAATGGGGGTACCCCTAAAATCATCCATGTATAGATGGATTTTCCATTTTAAACCATCCAGCTCTTCAGGATGGGGCCCCCCAGTGATGGCTATGTGGGTTTATAAACCATTATAGCCCCTATTGACTATAGTTATATCTACCATAAAGCCACTTATAAGGCAACTTAGCTATCTTCGGGGCCCCATCCTATTGGGGTAGCCCTATTTTTTAGGAAACCTCCATCTGATGCTGCGAAAGCCTGGCCTCAACACCGCAATTTTGGTCTCCAAAATGCAGCGAAAGTCTGCCTGACGGACGACCAAGTTTCCGCGTGCCACCACGGTAAGGGTCCCCGGGAGGGTCATTTGTGGTTATGACATTCACAGTTTAATGGTGGTTTAATGGTGATTTAATGGATTTTAATGGTAATTTAATAGATATACCCTCTGGTAATGACTAACAGTTTGCGAACTTGAAGATGGATGAAGATGGCCCATTTAGTTCGTAGATATCTCCAACAGTACCTGAAATGATTGGTTCGGGGATTATACTACCCTCTGGTAATTTAACATAGCTATTCCAAATGGCCCGTTTAGTTTGTTGATTTACCGTTTTTAAAGATGGTGATTTTCCAGTTCGCAAACTGTTACTTTACCAGAGGGTACACCACGCGAACTGGAAAATCCCCATGGATAGATGGCTTCCAGTTCGCAAACTTTGAGTCATTGAGGGTATAACCAGAAGGAACCAACTGAGCAGTGTTCAAAACCGTCGTTTCATACTGGTTTAAGAACGGGATTTCCCCTGTTATTGCTTGCTATAATCCAACAGAGATCATCCAGAGAATCCTTTTGCCACTGCTCAACTGGAAACGTTGCGCGAATCGGGGCACCCACGACATCTATTGTAGAAACCATCCGAACTCGATGCGGCAAAAAAAAGACCATGGATTGAAGTAAAATTACCATGAATTACCCTCTGGTAATTTAACATAGCTATTGAAAATGGCCCATTTATAGGTGATTTACCTACTATAGATGGTGATTTTCCATAGCTATGTTAAACTACCAGAGGGTACCCATCTTCCCTGGCGAAAAACAAACTCTACGCAAAGTCCTCCGTTACACTCTTCAACTCTGATTCGGCTATATGTTGGGATGATGTCCTCAATTTACAAGCATTTACTGACCATATCTCTACCTTACCTGCTGGCAAAATCTTGTTCGCCCAAGTAACATTGGGACAAAGAATGATAGAAAAAGCAACTTTGCTATGTACATATATGTTGACAAAATATAACACTTCACCAACCGGAAAAGTTCGTCCATTTGAAGATGATTCCAGTTACATTCACCATCATTCAAAGTGGCGGAAAACAACGTGAGGTCCTTGCAAGTTCTCCAGATAAAATCGAATGATTCCCCTTCTTAACCATAGATCATCTACATAGATATGCTTAGACTTATAGTTATACTATGTTTTACTCATAGTTAACCAATATATAGTATTACCCTCTGGATATTTAACAGTTCGCCATGGAAAGATCCACCATTTTAAATAGGTAAACCTTCTATTTCTATGGACCATGGCTTAACCATGGCTATGTAACAAATAACCAGAGGGTATATATATATAGTTTTCTAGATTCTTATCCTCTGGTTATGACTAACATAGCCATGGAAAATCCCTTATAAATGGAGGTTATGTAACAAATACCCAGAGGGTAGTTTTCTAAACCACAAACCACTGGCCATCCACCTGGCCATCGCCATCGCCATCGGCCTTCTCGGCAAAGCCGTCCTGGTTCGAGTCGAAGAGCCGGAAGCAAAGTCTTCGCTTGCCCTGGCGGAAAGGACCGGGGGGTTCTGGGGGTCTGGGGTCTGGTGACATGGTGAAAAAACAAGCTGTATACCATATGTAGATGGTTGATGTGGGTGATAAACCATAGTTGATAATAGTTGGTAGTAGTGAACATGACTCCAATAACTGTTGGGTTTAGTATGTATATCGAACGAGTCTTTTTTACAGGGTACTTGCAACCAACAAACAGTTCACTAGGAGGTGTCACCTTGCATGGAGCGGTCCGATTGGGGTTGGCGCTGGTTGCCAGCGATGTTCTGTAAGTGCTTGGGGATGGTTTATGACATTGGTAAGACACCTTAAAACATCTTATTATCTTATCTTATAACTGTTATCTGTATATGGGCTGACTATGTATATGTACATACTATATCATATTACATTATATTATATTATATTATATATATTATATTATATCATATCATATCATATCATATTATATATATCATACATATATCATACATATATATATATCCCCAGTTTTATGGGTTGTATTCTATTGGCTGCTCGCAGCCAAACCAACTGGGATGCACATATGCCATACCTCCATCCTATGGTCCCAAAATGTGTAAATCCCCAAGTGGTTCACCATGGCTTTTTTGTGTAATATATATATATATGGCAATGTGTCAAAACCTTGTACCCCTGGTGAACATCAAAATAGCTGGTAAATGGATGTTCATCCCCCTAAAAATGGTATTAATAGGTATTGATCCATACCCATATATATATATATATCAGGGTTTTCTGGATTTACTAATCCGATGATCCTAATATAAAAAAATTGCAGATATTTTTTGGACCTTGGAAGAATCAACCATGGATGTCCTGATCCGAATCGACCAAGGAGCCACGTTCCGAATCTTCCGCTGGCACCTCTGCACCGCCGCGCTTCAACTGTGTGACAAACGTCAGGAATTCCTCCAGAAAAGAGCAACAACGGAACTGTAAAGGGTGGTGTCGCAGTGACCCATTTCTCATCCATTTTTCATCCATTTTTCTCTGGTTTTTTTGTTGACGGCTTGCGAAGTGGAAAATCATCCCTTTTAAAACCGGTAAATGGACCATGGCTTCGTTAGCTGTAACCAGAGGCTGAGGATGCTTCAAGCTCCATGGCAGCGATCTTTGTGTAGGGAAACATGGAAAAAAGTCAGCAGTTTCTTTGGCTGCCAATCCAGGTACCCCCTGGTAAACCTACAAAAAACTATAGAAAATCACCATTTTTTTAATGGGAAAATCCACTATAAATGGGGTATTTTCTACAGCTATGTTAGTTTACCAGAGGGTAAGTTTGTGGCTACGAAAGTGATGAAACTTTGGATTCCATCAAAATGGACCTTGGAAGACCAGATCCATCATCTATCATCGATCACCATTGTTGTCCTCTTGTTAAAATCCATCATGCAACATAATGTGCCACTGTCAAAACTCCTTATATTGTATGTGGTCATCAGTCCCATACTGGAAATCCTTGCAATGGGTCAATGGATAAAAAAACCCTCTGGTAATTTAGCGTAGCTATTGAAAATGGCCCATTTATAGTTGATTTACCGTTTTTAAAGATGGTGAATTCCATAGCTATGTTAGTTTACCAGAGGGTATATATAAATAAATCCCTATGAAAATGGACTGATGACCATCACTCAATATGGCTATCTCTTGTCCAAGTTTGGACCCCGTCTGGCGTTGTTTATAATCTATCACCAAGGGTCTACCATACAGAAATGTCATATTTTTGGTGCTTAAATCCCTACTGATAAGGAAAATATCCCATTCTAGTGGTCAGAGGGCGACTACTCAATAACCATCAAGAAGCATCTTAGTGTACCGCTCAACTCCCAAATTTGCCTGAACGAATCCCTACATTGGATCTCTTTGGATATCCAAGTGTCACCCACAAACATATGTCACTCCGAAATTTCCAGACAAACCCATGAACTAATTGCATTAATCAATAAAAATCTGGGCAAAGGATAATAATTCACTCACCTGAAATCAGGCGATATATCATGCTATGTTGGGAGAATTCCCCCGGCCCTCACAAGGATTTTTGATCGCGACGTGAGGTGCGTCATCTGGAGCAATCATCCCATTTCTATGGTTGAAAAAACAGAAAAATTGTCCCCAAAAAAAGATGCCAAAATAGGTGACATCTGAAAAAAAAAAAACTGGTAAATATATAACTCTTCTATCATTCAACTTGGGAAATTTACTATATCATATGGCAGTGTGTCAAAACCTGGTACCCCTGGTGAACATCAAAATAGCTGGTAAATGGATGTTCATCCCACTAAAAATGGTATTAATAGGATTTAATAGGTATTGATCCATACCCATATGTTTAAACCCCAACCATCAAGCCTCAAAGTCAATCACGTTGTCGCCGTTGAGATCGATCGCTGAGAAGAGCGTTCGCCACATCGGCTGGCATCGGCTGGGCGAAGCACGGGGACCCGGGAGGATTTGGGGACAACAACAAAAAAAAAATGGGTGACACATGGGAGGATTTTGCACTTACAGTACCCTCTGGTAAAGTAACATAACTATAGAAAATCACCATTTTTCATGGGAAAATCTACTATAAACAATGGGGTATTTTCTACAGCTATGTTAGTTTACCAGAGGGTAAAGGAAAAAAATATCCAGAAAACTAGAGTGGGAAAACTGTGGAAAAAAATTATCCGGAAGAATCACGAAATGCGATTTAAAAACCTGGGACAACTTGGAAAATTCATCCAGTGAAAGCAATGGAAATCGACAAGAGCAAGGGTTTTTGACCGACGAAAATGGGGATGTACAATTTGATGTAATGTGGTAAACCCAATAATAAATCATCCCCAGTATTACCATGCATGGGTGGTAAGTGCCATCCTCAAATGGTAGGTTTATGGCATTGGGTTTACCGGTTTACCACATCAATGGAACTTAGTTGAGGAGCAAAAGCACATTGGACAAGTTTCCTTCTTTGCCAGTTTCACCCCAGTTGAAACATAAAAGAAACCCGGGGCTTCGAGAGTTGCAAGTCCTTCAGGGGAAGGAGTTAAGACAACAGCTGGAAAAGACTCCGGTTTGTCTTAAGATAGGGGACAGGCCAGGATAGACCATTTAACCATTTGGATTTTTCTCAAAAAATGTGAGTTCTGGGAGTTTTCAAGGGGTTAAGATTTTGAGGCAGTTGCCTCCCCCAGCTCTACTAAGCTCCAGAAATGAGGCCCAAAATCCACCACCACACCTTGTATTGCCTGTGATTCGAGAAGAGGGAGTGAAACTGATTCCTGGCAAGGACATGTGTCAAGTTATAGACCTGCCATCGGTGAAATCTGCCACGAAATCTGCAACGAAGAACTCTAAAATTGAAATGAATAGCCTCCGGTAGTCCATAGCAATTGGACTCCCCAGTGAGATGTGGTCAATTTGAAAATCATTGAACAATTGAATGGATCTATACAGATTTTCCAGCAAGGTATGTTTGATGTCCCCGCCTGTCAAGAGGACAAGAAGTCAAGGTGGTTGTGTGAAGACACAAGTAAAAGTACACCTGGCCGTAGAAAAACTGCAGCTGAGTTGCTTATAAACCCATTGAGTGTATATATATATGTATATATATATGTTATATAATGTTATGTGTATATTATATATATGTACATTATATATATATATATTCCCCATAAACCATAGAATTCACCACGTGATGTTAGCGTCAACATCTCGCGAGTTCGTTTTTGGCAACGTGGAACGACTGCATCGGATGTGGGCCACTGACAGGTCGACATGGGCTGCTGAAATTTCATGGGGATCAAAGTGGTTTTTGGGGAAAGTTGACACCGGAAACCCCAACCAATTCCTATATACAAATGCCATAAACCACCCATTTGGGAATGGTTTATAGAACCTATTTATGGTGATTTGAGGGATGGTTTATTAGTGTATCAAAGAATGGGATGTTACCATCTGGTAATTTAACAGCTTGCTATTGAAAATTGCCAATTTATAGTTGATTTATGTTGATTTACCTGCCAAAGATGGTGATTTTCCAGTTCGCTATGTAAACGTTTGCCAGAGGGTATTTGATGGGAAAAACCTGGCATCAGTTTCAGGTGACGATTTTCAGAAAACGACCACCAATCCAGTGACTGATGCGACCACCCATTGCCGGTACCTGCTTGAGGTTGTACAGTTCCTGCGCCGCAACCGCCCCACAATATTCGTGCGTTGGGAAACGATGAAACGAAGCATTATGGTCTCCAAAAAATGGAAGAACATGGTGACAAACCATAAAATGCGGGGGCGCGCCCTTTCTTTCAAACTCTCATACTGTAGCTACCAAACCAGGGTTTGGCAAAAATGGCTGTGATACCTTCAAAACAGGGCAGTGGAAATTGTCATACTAATAGCCACTAAAAGCAATAACAAGGAATAGTAGTAAAAGTAAGAACAGCAGTGCTGTTCAAGTATCCTCTGGTAAACGTTTACATAACCATGGAAAACCACCATTTGCTATCCCATAGGATCCATGTATGGTATATATGCTAACATTGGGGGTATATTGATGGTAAATGTTACCATATATAGCATACATGGATCCTATGGGTATGGTTAAATCCACTATTTCGACTGGGCCATGTTCAATATGTTATGTTAGTCATTACCAGATGGGATCCCCAGACGATCGCTAAGTCGGTGAACATACCTTGCTTAACGTTTTGGATTTATGATAAATAATGGATACAATAGAAACTATAGTAAATCCCTATATAACATTATATAACTGGTTATTTATGATGTTTATAATATTTATTATACATTTATAGTACTATAGTTACATCCCACATATAACTATCGATAGAAATTCGATGGCTTTATGGGGGATGCAGCCCGCAGGTAGGGATGGTGAAGTCATAGAGTAAGTGACTTCACCAAACCTGCGTCGTCTTCCGGACCATAGCTTGCTGATTCTAGGATTTATGATAAGTACTGATATATATATATATATATCATGTATCACTATATATCTATAGCAATTAGCAACCCAAAAAAAGATAGAAAAATGTTTCCGGGATTGTATAAATGATCATGTTCCCCGGCTAAGTATAAACCAACATAGCCGCCCAGGCTGCCGTCCTTCTGGCTGAAGGCACCCTGGGGTGCTGCCTGAAATCAACCCAGAAAACGGCAGATGTTGGTCCATTATGAAGCATAAAATTCTTGGATTGGGGGACTCAATTTCAAGCCATACCCATATATCTAACAATCATCTTACATATCTACTGTAAAATATCCAAAATATCGCTAAAAATCTAAAATCTCGACATGATTCGACATGTAGATCCATTTTTATGGATGATTTATATAGAATGCATCGATCTCTCTTAGCGCTGACCTTGCCATGAAAACGGCAAACGGCTGGCTTAGCGTTGGATTTCCACGGATGATCATCAGTCGCAGTTTTCGACCAACGCCACTGCTCTACGTAGACTCGTAGACCCAACAAATGCGAAAATCGGATAGACAAAAAGTGCCAAAAATGCCTGGAATCATCTGGAATCCAAAAGTCGAAAAAGTCGTGCAGTCGGAACAAGGGGTCCACCCTCTTTAAGGATCCATCAATGCACAAGAAATAAAAACAGACATTCCATCAGATACCCTCGGACCAATTCTGTATCTGATGGTAGAATCAAAGATAATTCCTTGTAAAACCAATTCTTGAACCAAATCTGGCCTATCCCATTGAAAAAAAGAACGTTATCATATTCACCACCAAAAACCAACAAAATACCCACCAAAGAGCCAAAAACCCACCAAAATACGTCCAAAAAAAAACATCAAAAGTCGCAAAAACTTGGAATTGCTTGAGGGTTTTATCATGGGTCATTAAATGTCCCCATTGAACATCACCCAACCATTAGGTATATGGTCAATGCCATGGCTACTTTTTCAGGTGATGTCCAATATACCCAAAATGGGACAGTTACGAACCCCTGTTTTTCGAGATTCCACAAATGGTGGATGTTCCATTGGGCAAAACCGCAAAACCCACCAGCACCTGTCCGGCCAGGGACTGGTGGACTCCCATTGAATCAAATGCCTCGGGAATCATTGCTACAAATCATGGATCATTTGCATGGAAATTTAATGGTTTATAAATATATATATATAACGAGGACAGATTTAATGGTATGTATATGGTATTCTTGAATTGATCATCCAAATTGAATGATATGGAATTGATCATCTTTAAAGATATTGTTGTTTTTGAATTGATGATATGGATCCATATCATCCATCTCCTGGCCCGATCCGGCCCGAATTTGACGACCCCTCGGAACAATCGCCCATCCCAAGGATAAGATAGGACAAGATAGGTCTATAATTATATAAGGTATGTATGTATGTGATGTAATGTAATGTAATGTAATGCTATGCTATGCTATGCTATGCTATGCTATGCTATGCATGTATGTATGTATGTATGTATGTATGTATGTATGTATGTATGTATGTATGTATGTATGTATGTATGTATGTATGTATGTATGTATGTATGTATGTATGTATGTATGTATGTATGTATGTATGTATGTATGTATGTATGTATGTATGTATGTATGTATGTATGTATGTATGTATGTATGTATGTATGTATGTAATGTATGTATTATGTATGTATGTATGTATGTATGTATGTATGTATGTATGTATGTATGTATGTATGTATGTATGTATGTATGTATGTATGTATGTATGTATGTATGTATGTATGTATGTATGTATGTATGTATGTATGTATTGGTATATTATATATAGAGGCTAAACAAACTATATCAAAATGATGAAACAACAAGGGAAAGGTTGCTCTTTGTGATGCTCATCGTTAAGGCCCCCACCGCACCAGTGGCAGCTCCAACGGATGGAATCAGAGATTTGGTGGCTGTATGGCGTTTTGATGCGCTCGTGAAAAGCCTTTTTTGTATCTTGGGGAAGATCGGAAGCTCTTTCCTTAGCAAAATTTGCAATCATTCAGACGCATTGACCCAAAAAAATGATGGTAGTTATTGGATTTCAAGGGCGAGTTGTTATCTTTAGCATGGCAACAGTGTAGACCAGTGCCCCAAAGGGCGGTGATACGTCTGAGCTGGATCATGGCGTCGTGGCGTCAGCGGTAGGCTTTGACCCATCATTAGCTGCTTGGTGGTTGACCTACCCCTCTGAAAAATGATGGAGTGAAAGTCAGTTGGGATGATGACATTCCCAACATATGGATAGTCATAAAATTCCATGGTTCCAGTCACCAATCAGCATAGCTTTTGACCCATCAAGTGGGATGATCTTCAAACATTATAGAGGCAAACAAATGGTAAGGGAACGTTAGGTAACGTTAGGTGGAGACTACTGGAATTATTGGGTGCCCCACATGGTTTCACAAAACCTTGAGGAATTGGCGCCCATTTTTCCACAACCACCGCGCGTTGCGTCACGCGGGACTGAACGTCCGATGGGGGGTCGCTGCATTTTGGTGCCTGCTTGCGGAATGACGCGTATCTTTTGGCTCAAAAAAGATGGGTCTGTTCAAAAGAAATACTGAAATGGTTTGAAAGTTGGCGCATGTATTCAACTGGTGTTTTCTATTTGAGACCTGTGGGTACCTTAACCCCGAAACAAAAAATGAAAACATCGTATGGTTGATTACACTTCCAGGCAAGCGAGTGACGGCCTCATCGACAGTAACCACGATTGTGTGTGGATGACATTTGCACTATTCTGGGTGAAACCATAGTTCGTGCATTCATGATAAATCTCAAACATGCCTTGAGGCCTATTCTGATGGTTGAGAATAAAAGATGATGTTCTGAGGTCGCTGTGGTGTTCTAGCCTGCGACAAGAAAAAGTGGATGACACCATGAATAGGGCAGTACTCAATGGTGATTCTTATGTCGTGCCTATATCACGACGAATATAGTGTTACTAACTGTTACTAACTAAAGGATGAATCCACCATTAATCAACCTATTGCTGTGTGGAACCATGAGTTAGTACGGTCATACCGACCTTCATCGGGATTTAATGGGTGGCTTCCACAGCTATGCCTCTTTGCTGGCGGATTGGAAAATCGAGAGGAAAATCCATGTTTTTTCCTAGTATAAACAGGTATCAAAATGACATGAATAGATATGGCATATGGATTTCCTGCAGATTTCTCCCTTCATCAAAGTCTCCGTTTGGATGTGGTCCTCCGCACGCTGCGCGTAGAAACAGATGTCACGGCTGTCAGAGCAACTATCAACTGCTACCCTAAGATAGAAATACATGCGCTGGGGTCAAAATTCTCAGACTCCGAAACTGCGAATCTGTCTGTGATTTCCAGCCAATCTTATTGTGATTTCTACTGATTTCTGGTATTTTTGTCAGTTGATTTCTATTGATTTATAATTGTTGGTGTTTTTCCCATGATGTTTTGACCCAAACCCACAGTTCATCCCTTTGAGGATGAATCATGGAAAGCTCATTTCCTGCCGAGCCGGGTGAGACGTCGCCATGATGGACACACACAAAGGGAGGAGCGCAACATTCGGTGAACAAGTCGATGCCGGGATGAGAAAATGGTGGGACACTTTCCCATAACAAAACTAGATCGATTCTACTTGATTCTACTTGGGGCTATGTCAGACTTAGAAAGTGAAGAATAACATGTCATAACCATCCCATGTGCTCCATGGTGCTGGAGGATTTACCAACATGTCCCCCAAATATCACCCAAATGTAGCTAAATGTATGGAGCATATGGGATCTATACCATATTACCCAAGTCTGACAAGTCTGACTCATAACCAACTTTTTAAGCGAACTGGGCGCAAACGTTGAGGCTGCGAGTTGTGGATCACGAAACACATCGTTTCAGCCTTGTTCTACCAGATGTTGGAAGCGAAAAATCGGGATCTGAGGAGCTACCCGGCCTGGTAAACCTACAAAAAGCTATGGAAAATCACCATGATTCATAGGTAAATCAACCAACTACATGGGCCATATTCAAGTTCGCTACGTATGTTAGTCACTACCAGAGGCTAACCCCAAAAATCATCCATTCAACCCATGGGTCTTTACAGGTCAGAGTCAGGATCAAAACCAACAAGTTTTTTTTGTGGGTAAAACCATGCCATAAACCACCCATGACTATAGAAATGGTAAACATACCACCTGTAAACATGGTGATTTGGGGATAGTTTACTATTGCTTTACCCTCATAATCTCTCATATATATATACATATATATATAATATAATATAATATATATATATATAATATAATATATATATATATATAATATATATATATATGTAGATATGTATATATAATGTGAAAGCAGAAAAATTGCAGAACACGACGGTTTGGGCGATTCACCGTTTATCCATAAATTGCTTCACCTTACGCGCCAACTCCGTGCAGGGTGGGGACCCCTTTTTGTGCGGAAACGGCCAGACATGGCGCTGGATGGGATGTTTCTGGCTGTTGACACCGCAGATTGGATGGGAAATTTCAGAAAATCACTGGAAAATGGATGAAGATGGATGAAGATGGTACAGAGTCCGAAGCAAAAAAAACGCTTTGCCGGAAGTCCGCCATGTCTGGGTCCTTGAATCTTCATTTGTCACCTGATGTCGGGTTTTTGCACAGCCGAAAAGCTCTTCGTTAAGTCGCCCAAACCAGACCATGTCGATTCAAATGCATTGGCATCACGGGAATTTCACCAACGCAGACCTTGAAGGCAGGCTGGCTAAGAGTCTTCTGGTCAATTCTGGTTACCCTTGGGCAATCAAACTTGGCAATGGGAAGTCCCTTGTAAATGGAGGTTCTAATTGGAAAAGAATCTATAAATGGATATACCATCTGGTTATTTAACATAGCTATGGAAAATCCGCTATAAATGGATTTTTGAATGGGAACATCATCTGTAAATGGGCCATTTTCAATAGCTATGTTAGTCATTACACTGGAGGGTGTGGTATAGCCGCGCTATTCAGCTTCACTATCGGAGACAACTGGTCGACCACTAGGTTTATCCCACAATGGGCATGGTAAAGCAATGAAAACGTTGACAAGTTTGGGAAGCTACATGGATACCCTCTGGTAAACATACAAAAAACTATGGAAAATCACCATTTTTCATGGGAAAACTCACGATTTCTATAGCCATTTTCAATAGCAAACTGTTAGTCATAACCAGGCCGGGTAACTGGGGGGATTTTCCAGCTATGGTTCTGACTGGGTCGCACCTGTTTCCATCGAATCTCCAAATCATCTTCTCCGATCACGAAAAATTCTATCCCATCAAAATCTCTCCATCCCACACCTCTCCCCTTCCGCACCTCAGTTCTCCATCTGCGCCAGAGTGGCGGTAAAGCCCCGCTGCTCGGTCTTCTGCACCATCCTGTGAATCCTCTCGCGCACCTGAACCTGGCGCTGGAAGGACCTGGGAGAACCCCCGTGGTTGCGATGTGGCCAAAATCACCGGGGGGTTGACGTCAAAAGATGTCAAAAGCAATGTAGGATCATCTAGGCATAGAGATAATTATATATAATCTTCAAAACTATATGAGAGATGATGAGAGTCGAGAATCTGCATCCCTCACCATCTGAAGATGCCAACTACAGCTAAATGATGTAAATGTACCTTTTCCCATGTGTTCTGTCGAAATTCTGCGTTTATGTCATCCCCCATCGTCATCTATTTAAGATGGCTGTGCAGGTCAACGATGGAGTAGTGTCATCCTGCCATCATGAGATTCCTAACAGAATGGCAAAACGGCAAAGCCATGCAAACCCCCAATGATCTATGATCATCCATGACCATCCCCCCCGAAAAAAGGCGATTTAACTAAATTGAGGTCATGAACCTGCCCCAAAAAACAGGCGAAGCGAATCAGACACAAACATATGAGGGATCAAAAAATTTTAGTGATTCCAAATTCCAGGTGACACCAGCTACTTGGATTCTCATCTCCAGCTACTTGGATTCTCACCTTGTACCCTCTGGTAAACGTTTACATAACTATGGAAAGATCCACCATTTTTCATGGGAAAATCCACGAACTAAATCGCCCTTTTCAATAGCTACGTTAGCACCAACCGTTGGAATCGACGACTCATCCCCCCCTTGAAGCCAGCCAAGCCTGTTCTTCGAGGCTCGGTTTCAGCAGCGTATCTTCAATCCACTTATCCATCCAGATGTTGGCGTTGTCCTCGGAACCCAACACTTTAAGGCTGGTTGGTTTGGGGGAAAATCTACAGAAAAATAAAGAAATGGTCATCCCCAAATAGATGGAAAAGTAAATCACCATCAAATTAGTAGGGATTTACTCTTCCATCTATTTGGGGATGACTATATAATTATACATATATATATATATATTATTATGTATAAAGTGTCCTTCGGATTTTCCACCAATAAGATTCTAAGATGGTTTAGCGAAAAAAAATACAGGCTTTTTCAGCAATCCTTCTTAGCCAAGTATGGAGGTGTCCTCTGGATTTTCCTTCTATGTTTTTTTCCATGTCTTGACATAGCCTTACTCTGCCTCCAAAATGTTGGGTGTCCTGTAAATCTTCGTTGAAACCAAGCTCGATTTGGGTGAGAAACAAATTTCCCAGCGTTGCTGAGTGTCGAAGATCAAACATGTGAAAAACTGAAAAAGTCGGAAAAAAAAATAGCAGTTTAACTTCCACTCAAGAACACATGGGTATGGATCAATACCTATGAAAATACCATTTTTAGTGGGTTATTCACATCCATAAATCCCAGCTATTTTGATGTGAACAGAAGGGGTACTATTGGTTTTGACACACTGCCTTATGACTTTCCATATGGGAATAATATGGATTATAGTGGTTTAATGGAATTTCATGGATGTTTCCCATATATTGTAACCAAAAATATGCTCCACAACGCCCCAACAAACCTGGGCCCCAGGCGATGATCATCTGATTGGTGAACCACACCGGAGGCAGCACTCGGGCCTGGGCAGTGTCAACAACTCAGCCGTCCGAAATGTATGAGTGTCTATTACTATGTGTATGTATAGATATATAAGTAAAATGTGGCATCATCGTCGTCGTCGTCGTCGTCATCATCATCATCATCTTCGTCTTCTTCTTCTTCGTCATTCTACTTTCTTCCCCGTTGAAACATCTTGAACCTTCGAAAAATCTCTGTGACACCACTCACCACACTCCTGGGGTCTCTGCCATCGCTAGGGCGAGGGGGGCCACCACGAACTCGATAAATCCAATCTGCGCCGCGGTTTTTGCTGGGGGAAAGTACCCTCTGGTAAACGTTTACATAACCATGGAAAGATCCACCATTTTATAGATGGGTAAATCATGGTAAATCCACTATTTCTATGACCATGTTCAAGTTCGCAAACTGTAAACGTTTACCAGGCCGGGTAGATTTTGTTTACCCTCCAGTGTCATCAAACATGGCTGTTTTACATCCCGGGAACCCTGCATGGAGGCTTAGTTCGCTGGGAAATGGATCTGTAAATGCTGGGGATTTTCCATTGCCATGCCTAAGAAATACCAGAGGGTGGATGGAAGCCTCAGAAATGGATCACACTCAGCGGACAAGTTAAAGATCTTTAAAACGATTGAATGGGATTCGGAAATTCCAATCACCATTTTTCAACCTTGAGATCCTGCAAAATTGAAAATGGCCCAGTCGAAATAGTGGATTTACCCATTAAACATGGCGATGTTCCATAGTTGTTTGATGTTGTTTGTATGGTTTTAAAAATATGTGCACAGCCCATCCCGTGACCACCATCGTCTCTGCCTGTGACAGTGGCAGACTCACCGTCTTCTTGTCGTTCAGCGGCCCCACGGGAATCCCAAGTGCCTACGACATCCCATCCCCATGGCGAAAGTTTTCCAAGATGAACCCCGTTCGAAAGGGATGGGGTCAGTCCTAAACTCGATTTTCTGGGGTCAGTCGATGTCAGAATGAAGGGGTAAACGTAGCCGGTCAAAGACGGCAACGGGATTCTGTTTTTTTTAGGATGAAAACAATGTATATATGTCATTTCCAGGTTGATGGGTGTGAATGAAAATGGGCTATACCTCCCATTCATGGCCATTTTGATGGGACAATGATGATGAACCAATGGTTGGAATGGGCGTTTCCCATAGTATAAAGTGACAAAGCCATAACCATCATGGAAAACCTACGGCTACCATTTCACCTCCACTTTCCCGTTTCAAAAAAAGCTACCAGAAAACACCTCCAGTCTCCCATCATCTCATGTTTGATCATCCTGAAAACCTCCAGCAGACTTAGCCCCCCCTTCGCAACCCGAGTCGCCCACCTTCTCTTCCTCTCCCTGCAGTGCGAACTCTTTGAGAACCAGCTCGGCCCAGCGTTCGGCCACCGGGAAAGGCCTGCAGCCATCCGACATCGCTATGGTGGGGATGTAGCTGTGGATATAGCGATGGTTGGGATGATTGCTGACCAAAGATGAACGAAACAAACTTGAAAAAAACAAGAATCCATCAATAATCCATCACCCCAACATCCCACTATGCCATACTATGCCATCATTTTTGATGAAATCATCCCATCTTTCTGATTCCTATCCCCCAAAATCTCAACCTCTTGAGATTTCCAGCAACGCCATCGACCTCGAGGGTCCGGTCCTAAGGTCGTCACTTCATGGGATTGGAGATGTCCGCGAAATGCAGGAGCACCGTCCTGGCGAAATGATTGCTGGTGAAGTGCTGAAAGTTTCTGTGACTAGATTCCAGACTCGATCCGCTTAGATTCGATTTAGATTCGATTTAGATTCGATTGGATTTAGATTGGATTAGATTGGATGCAGATTTAATTAGATTAGATACGCAAATAGATATACTGCATATAGCATGAGAATCAGGGAATCATCTTCAAACTTCTACTTATCCACTGGTGATCTTCAACATGTTTTTTTTTTAGTGCGCCATTCACCACAGCCCTTGTTCCAAGGCCCCATTCCGAACGGTCCTGAGTGTCTTTTTCACATCTGGGGTTTTGAAGTACTCCATGAGTTCACGCGGAGGAAATTCCTCTGTATTCATGTACCTGAGCAGCTGAGGAAAGTTGGGTTCCAGGTCACCCAAAAATGGCTGACCGACCAAACTTTAAAGTCCAAAAGAACCACCAAACTGTTGGCAGGTTAGGTTTTAGGTAGTCCTTTGGTAGTCTTTCTGGGCAAAATCGCTGCCATGTCTCACCCATAGCGACTGGAGAAGTTCTGGGCTCCAAACATTTCATCTGCGGTGTCAAAGAGCTCCGCATTCACACCATACATTGACTCAAACTCCTCAAGTAATCTGAAGCTGTGACTTGAAGGGTGGGGGGTCCAAAATGGCCACTTCTGTGTGTGTGTGCTTTTAGTGAACTGCTTTGGGACAATGACTACCACGGGCCACCAAAAACCATGGCAAGAGAAGGTGTTGATCCAAAAATATTGTGGCTCCAACGTGCTCGAACTCTCTAAGATAGTTGAGCAGCCACAACCTACGAACAAACCATGGCTTGTCCCAAACAGCCGGCCCTTCCCTCGCCTTGACCATGCCGCCGTGTTGCTGGCAAACGGGAAAAATTGGAGGGCACCGTGGGACGACGGGGGGGAGTTTTCTCCTAAAGGATTGGTGATCTTAGATCCCAAGAATATGTTTCAACAGTTGATAGTCATCATCCCAAAAGTTTGGGGGTCATAGCTGGCAAGGATAACATCTTTCACAGATTTCACGAGTTTAACGTGCTGGGAGAACATGTCACTTCCAACATCAACCAACAGCTCTGACGAACAAATCACGTGCCAGGAGGCACCGCAAAGTCTGTGGCGATGATGGAGTCCACGATGATGTGCCGGATGTGGCTATAGATGACCTGCATCGCCAGTAAGGGCAGAGGATGACCACCGGGCCCCGACTGGGACTGCGCCAGCGTTTTTTCGGAAGTGGGGAAATACCGCGGAAATACCATGAATTTCAGGAATTGCTCGAGTTTGAATACTTTGATCAATTCACCATCCATCATGATATGGATCATTATGACTCACTATTCAACATACTTCACCATGATTAACCATGAATCGTTAACCAGTAGTCGAAAGGATGCATCACATCTTCAACGACACCTGGCCAATGGACTGCTTTGAGGGAACATCTACGGTAGTGGTTTGAAACTGGCTGGTTTCCGGCTTGGCTGGAAGATCTTCCCTTGAGCCAATGTTCACCAATTCTGGGATCATCTGGGCAGGGCTATGGCTTCCGATATCGATTGAACCACCAAGTGCAAAAAGTTTAAGGGCTCCCAAGTTTTCCAGTTGTGCCTCGTTTAACTCGGAGAACAAGTTGCACTCGTGCTTCGCTAAAATCTGGAAGAGCTTGCTGCAGTGCATGTTCTCCAAGCACGACATGTCCTCAGCTTCCAGCAAGTGAACAGGGCTGCTCCCAACACCCCAAATACGTTTGGGAGACAAAAGGGGTAAAATTGCAACTGTTCTTCCTAAAAGCAACTACAAGTTACCTGGAATGAGTGGGAGCAACCCTGGTAGGCGTCCAACATGTAGGGTTGTCGGGAGATAAAGGAAGAAATTGGCCAACAATAATTGGATATGACAATCTATTGGTGTCTCTAATCATGACAAATCCCAGGTGGAACATGCCTGTAAAAAGACAAGTCCCTTGCGCAAGGAGAAAACATACCCTTGAGGTAATAAAAAAATCCGTGCACAAGGATGGAGGATGACAATCTATGATGAATTCCAAAGCTGAATTAGAGATGTGCCATGAAATTTAAGGTGGATTCTCCAAACTTACCCCATCACTGGTGCCAGTGGTTAGCCTTCACAAGATATCACCTTCCCGAGGTTTTCTATCCGGCGGTAGCCCTCAGGCTCGGGCGTTGTAGCAGATCGCCAACTCGTGTTCAATCCTCGTTGGATCAGAATGGATACCCTCTGCGTTGATCAAACGTGGCACTTGAAAATCCACCCAAAAAATAAAGCGGAAAAATTGGAAAATCATTTTGAGGCGATTATCAATGGTTGCGTTTCGGAAAAGTCATGTTACAGTCATGTTTGATTACTGGATGGTACCCAAATTACTGGCCTAAGGCGGCCTTCGCTGGAGAAACTGATGATAATCTTGGGGAAAACCAAAGTAGGATGCACTTTTGGTTGCTCAGACCCTGCGAGGTTGTGGGGATCCCCATACCCAACTCATCAAACCTGGTTTTAGCCTGCGCAAATCATGTATGTATGTCCCAAACCTCGAGCAAGTCCAGTTTTAGGGTGGGGGGGGCCTTACTCACCATTTGAGGTCACACACATGTTAAAATGTCATGTGCATGGCTCCGATCAGTTGTCATCCTAAAGCCTCAAACCACAAGGTTTCGAGTCATGAACATCATCAGCTACGTCATTCAAAATTCAGTTGGAGTCACCATCTGTGTGCAAATCGTCAACCAGCAACATTGCCATCAAAGGTCACCCATTTTTAGACAACCCACATACCCTCTGGTAAACTAACATAGCTATGGAAAGATCCACCATTTTTAATGGGAAAACTCACTATAAATGGGCCATGTTTAGTAGCTATGTTAAATTACCAGAGGGTAGATCCACCCACATAATTAGATCATTTTATAGATATTCCATATTTATAGATCAATCCCCTTAAATAGTGGTTTCCTAAAATAGGGCTACCTGACATAGATCCCACAAAATCCCAGTTGAATCTCGGATCACCCAAATCCATCGCCAAAGTCACTCGGTGAGAAACACGTTGCTGCGGCCCATGTGCCCAATGTCGTGGGCCAGAGCTGCCACGGTCAAGCCGAAACCTCGGATGCTCATCCAAGAAAACCAACGGATAGAAGCCGGGAGAAACAACGAAATAAATATATATAGGGATGTTAAAATTATATATATTATATATTATATATATACATATAACCTATACAGTATGCAGTCATATCAGATGTGAAGATAGAAATCTCAACAGTGACATTCCTACTGTAAGAAATCAGGACTTGCAGCGTTCGGCAGTGGCTGGAGGGTGCAAGTGTGGGCTTCCCATGGAGATGCAAACATGAGCACGGGAAGATGATGGTGTGATAGGTCTGATAGGTAGTCAATCTGTAATGAATGATAATGAATGAATGACAGAGAGAAAAGGAATCATCATGTCTGAGCATAAATACTGTACCATTAAGAAAACATAACCGTACATAACCTAAAGATGCCTAAAATCTCATCATTACTTTAGTATACTTTATTCTCAACGGCTGCGGCCATGCAGTTGATCACTTTTTCCGCCGGCGGCTGCGGCAAGGGCCAGTCCAAGCTTGACGAGCAAGCACCTACTGTAGTGGAGTCCCTGTAGTGGAGTCCGGAACCAGAGAAACATGGGCCAAAACAAGACACTTCAAATTGTTAGTTGGACCTGCACCATTTGCAGTGCCAACTTGGAACACAATAAAACTGTGTACATTTCCTGCACGCGAGCTTCAGTTCATAACTAGCATCCCCCTTCTTGTACAAGACTTCTAATTGGGGTGGTGGCATAAGCTCGAAATTGCGTTCAAGGACTTTCTGCACAAGGTCTGGATACTTGTAGCACATGCTCCAGTCCTTTTCACCATTTTTCAGAAGGTGATCAATCCACTTCTCCGCATAATCATGGAGCCCTGAGCGGTAAGCCTGGACCACCCGCTGCACTGATGGTGGTTGAGCCTTAAGAAACTCAATGCTTTCTTTGTGCAGGATGTCGATGCAATACTCATCGCACCAACGGAGGAGCAAGTCCAAGTTCTCGTCGGACACCTTCTGCAGCCGACCTGTCACAGGCTGAAGAAACTCAAGGAGAACCTTGAACTCTTCGGGGCACTTGCCAGGCAGCTCAACCTGTTTCGTCTTCTTCTCCTTCATGTCTTGCGACAACATCTTGTTGAAGACTGGAGAAGCCAGCATCAGAACAGACGAATTGGTCCGGATGTCTGTAAGGGCATCGTCGTCAAACACAATGGTGATGTCCTGCACGGAAATTGCAGAAACTCTGCAGGTGATGGGTTGCCGCTGGTCATCGAATATGGCAACGGACAGTCCCTGTGTTTGATGGGAAATCATCTACAAATGAATATAAATAGGGGTCTTCCATTGCCGAATTAGATTACGAGCCATTATTCCAACTAAAACCCCAAACTGAAACCTTTCATGGGCTCTCTCCCGGGGCTGGAAATTATCCCAATTGTTTCCAGAAATTTTGGAAAATATGTTTTTGTTCAGACTGGTCCTCCATTAAAGCGAACAGCACAGGGGACAGCAGCTGGTTCCTGTCTGAGCCCTTTTAAATGCCTGCAACACAAGCCCGGCACAATCAACATGCAAAAAATTACAAGGCATACGGGTACCCAAGCAAGCTGTCATGAATGAGTGAATTGATGAATGCATGAATGACTGGTACGGAAAAAATGAATCATATTTTCGATCCATTTCGGGCAAAGGTACCGTCATGATTCGTGTCTCTGTGGCTTCGGTCCCCACAATTGCTGGCTGATCACTTTTTCCATCGGCCAGCGGCTTGTGCGGCAAGGGCCAGGAACACGTACCCACTGTAGTGGAGTCCAAAACCGTAGGTATGCGGGGCAAAGCAAGAGACTTTACTTGTACCCGCATGATTGACATTGCCACCCTGCACCATATTGTTGTGTGCACTTTGTGCACGCCAACTTGTGTCCAAAATCAACATGCCCATTCTTGTGCAAGTGCGCTTTTGGCATTGGTCCCGAGCGCAAGAGTTTCAAACTGCGTTCGAGGAGCTTCTGCACTAGCTCTGGGTACTTGTAGCAAGAGCTCCAGTCGGCTTCGTCATTTTTCAGGAGCTGATCATCAATATACTTCTCTGCATGATCATGTAGCCCTGCACCGTATGCCTGGACCACTCGCTGCACTGAAGGTGGCTGAACCTTGATATATTCAATGCACTCACCGTACAAACTCTCGATGCAGTACTCATCGCACCATCGGAGGAGCAAATCCACATTCTCGTCCGAAATCTTTTGAAGCCTGCCAGTGGCGGGTTGAAGAAACTCAAGGAGAACCTTGAACTCTTCTGGGCACTTGCCAGGCAACTTGATCTCATTGGTCTGTTTCTCCTTCATCTCCTGCGACAACATCTTGCGGAAGACTGGAGAAGCCAACGTCAGAACAGACGCATGGGTTCGTATCTCCGCAAGAGCCTCGTCGTCAAACACAATGGTGATGTCCTGCACTGCACTGAAATTGCACAAACTCTGCAGCTCAGGGGAATATTGGCCAACTGTTCCATTGCCAGGAGTTACTCCAACAAGAGCCCTAAAAGACACATCAATCAGGGGTTCCCTCTGGGGGCTGGTCCTCCATGTTTCAGCCAACAGGCGACAGAGGCTGCTTCCTGAGCCCTAAAGCTGCAGAATAGACCTGGCATAATCAACATATGTACCACGGTCAAGCTACATGGTTATAGAGTCCATGGTCATCCATCCCATATTGGGAATCCTCACTCAATGGCTACTGAAAAAACCCGTTCTGAAAATATGGGATCCTCCTTGGCAGCGGATCTTCATCCCATGGTTTCTTCGAAGGCTCCAACACCCAGACTTCGGCCGTTTTTTTGATCTTCCGAGGGCCCCTGCATTCCAGGTGACCCAAATAGGTCTCCTCGCCAACGAAAGTGGTTGAGAGTAGTTGTTTGGTTATCTGGGGTTATCTGGACTGCAAGATCCTGTAAGTACCTTGAAAGATTTGACACCAGCAATAACAAAGAACGAACATCGAAACTACACAGGCGCTCAACAAGAGCATAGTTCCTGTCAGACAAACCCTTCAGCAATCCAATACCGTTACAAGAAGAAAAAGGAACGGAAAATGCAGCCAGATTTCCACTGGAGAAGGGGGGTTGAGTCAGCCACTATTTCCACCCTTAGAATCACCTTTTCAGTGATGTGTTGTTCTTCATGATTCAATCACCTTAGTTACCCTCTGGTAATGACTAACATAGCTATAGATAATGGCCATTCAGAAAGATGATTTACCTAGCAAAAATGGTGATTTTCCGGTTCGCTATATTAGTCATTACCAGTTTTTTTTAATACCAAACATAGACTTAAAAATTGGTTGTCTTTTTTGTCCAGGGGTTGATCCCATTTTCCATTCTTCACATAGAATCACCTTAGTTAAGTCTAAATTCCCCATTTTCTCCCCGGATCCCCGGGTGCGGGCGTACCGCGGCGATGAGATCCAAGGTGCGCCAGAGGGTAAAGGTGGCATCTACCTCCCAGGTGAATGTGGATGCCATGGATAATCAATGGATTGGTTTTGTTGGAAAATTCTACACCGGAAACCCATGGGTTTTTTACCATCAAATATGGGGTTTCCGGTGAAAATTAACCCATCATCCAATTCTATAAGATCACCTATGTACCCTCTGCTAATGACTAACATAGCGAACTGGAAAACAAACTGTTTATATAGATGATTTGCCTATGGAAATTACAATTTTACATAGCTACGTTAGATTACCAGAGGGTAACTGAGGTAATAACTGGGGAGTACCATATATATAACCTATATACGACCTATGTACCTGGGGATAACCATATATAACTGGCAATAGAATGGGGGTATCATGTGGATATTAAGTCATATATGACCGGCAAAACAAAGAAAACCAAGGATTGGTGGAGCCATTTCGATGTTTTGGCATCAACATGGTGAAACATGTGGAGTCAATCATCAAAAATAGAGATGTTCCCAGATCTTCCAATGAATCGTGCATACTGGAAATGGATTGCTACCTTGATTTCTAGCTGTATAGGTAACAACTGCGGTTTACTAATGTTTGAGTCCTCTAAGCCCCGCACCGCGTGCCCAAAGGTGTGGTAAGGTGCCAGCCTCAGAGCTCTGTGCGGTAAGGTTATCCATCTGCAGATGGCTTGTTCATATGTATAGAGGAGAACGCTACATGTTTTTGATATTGCAAAAACATGGCAAAATCTAGAACTAGAACATGTCGAAAGGACCCCCAATCGAAATCCGGGACTTGCCAACAAACGGAGCTTTCCTCTTGTCATCTGAGTTCCCGGGACTTGCCCCTGTCGTATCCTGCGGCACATTCCTTTAGGAAGGCGGCACAACCTCGGCGTTCACCCACAAACTGTGGAGTTTCACCAAAAGTTCATTTGGGATGGGAAGAACATGATCAACATCTGGAGATTTCAATAGATTTCATTGATTTCACCGAAAAATCATCACCACCTGGAGACTCCAATTGAGAACTGGGGAGATCTTGGGACCAGTTAGCTTTTCCCAGTTGGGCAACCCGGTGGTAACCCACGGTACAAGCAACGAGGCCATCTGAGGTCGCAAACAGTCTTGGAATTCGCCGGCAATCTTCACCTTCGCCGTGGACCGAGCCCAGCGTTTTGGCGGACGGTTTTTTCATCAAAATCCGGGGGCCCATTCTAACAGCCTTGGTGAAATACTAGAAGATCATATTAGATCAATGATTACCCTCTGGTAAACGTTTACATAACTATGGAAAATCACCATTTAGTTCCTGAATTGTCCCATGAAAAATGCTGGATCTTTCCATAGTTATGTAAACGTTTACCAGAGGGTATATAATCCTTGATCATCCTTGATCAGATTTTTGAGTCAGCCTTGCGCCATCCATGTTTGCCCCATGATCTGCCCCGAAATCATCTGAAAAAAATTCTGGGTCAAAACATCGCAGCTGCCAGGCCCGGCCGCAGCTGCCGCACCTTGTCACGGATGGCATTCGCCCGCTGTGAGAAGAGGAGACACACGCTCAAGTTGTGTCTGTCCTGTCGACGTAACCCTGAAAGTCTTGGCGCCGAAACCCTGGAGACGAAACGGTTTTTGGGAGCCCTGGGTTTGGATGGGGCCCCGAAGATAGCTTGCCTCAAAAAAGTGGATTTATGGTAGATATAACTATAGTTAATAGGGGTTATTATGGTTTATAAAGCCACAAACATAACTGGAGGGCCTCATCCTGTAGCGGATCAACGGATCCTTCAAGCCTCAAAAAAAAGCTGCTAGCCATACCCATGTTTCCATGTCATCACCCTGGCGTCCTGTGTTGACAGGTCCAGGGTGTCCAGCTCCCATTCTCAGTGCGGCTGGGGGGTGAGCTGAGGCCGAAAAACCTACCAGGGGATGGTTGAAATCCCATCCATTGAATTTAGGGATGGTTTGTTGATGGGTTTACATGGGTTTACCATGGCCAGATCACTGAAATTGAGCTTTTCATGACAAGATCATCTGATCTGTACAGCAGATTCCATTTTTGTTCGGTGCGGTATGGGGCCGCAGAATGCAGTGACACATGATCTTCAGAAACCACAAACATCTACCTGTTTCATGAAATGCAAAACAAACACAATCAGAACACGTTGCGTTACAACCCTTCGAAATTCCCAACATGGGGTGCAGTTACCTAACCCTATGTTGCGAACTTCTCCTAAAAGTGGTTTAAAAAAACAGTTTCTAAGTGTGTCGGGTTAGCTCATAATTCCCAACAACCCAGGTAGTAGAATCCCCGATTTTCAGAACCAATGAGGCGATCTTGGTTTGTCTGACCTGGCTTAAAATGGGCATCCGGCGTTGGAAGACATCCCAGTCGATGCTCACCTGGTAGCGATGAATCTGTGGAAGGCAACGTTGATGAAGCAGCAAAGAGGGGAAGTTTACCCAGTGACCATATGCCATTAGAAGTAAACCCCCACAATATGGGGTTGACCCAGTCATGAAGCACTTCTTGTCCAATGTGTCCCAAGAATACAAACCCAAGTTCGGATATGGCGTTGTTTTCAACAGGCTGGAATCACATAAATTGGGTGGCGCAAAAACTTGGTCTATCAACTCCGCTAGCATCTAAATCGTTAGTTCCTGAGAAAATGTTAACTGGTTGGTGGTTTCAACTCTGAAAAATGATGGAGTTCGTCAGTTGAGATTATGACATTCCCAATTAATATGGAAAGTCATAAAATTCCATGGTTCCAGTCACCACCAACCAGTGAGTTTCATTCACCAGAGATTTCTCAAAAGATACCCTCTGGTAAACGTTTACATAACTATGGAAAGATCCACCATGTTCAATGGGAAAATCCACTATTTCTATGGTCATTTTCAATAGATATCTTAGTTTTATCAGATGGTAAATCCCATTAAAAAACCCATTAAATCCCATTAAAAACCTATTAAATCCCATTGAAAACCTATTAAATTACCAGAGGGTATTCTCAGTTCCATCCAGTTCCAACTGTATCCGGGAATGGGCAGCCATCTGTTCTCGATCCGAGACCCGGACGTCTTCCATCACCGTCGTGATCAACGTCGCTAGATCGCTGACCTTGGACACCGTTTCCCCAGACATTTAAGGGCAGTTGTCATGGCAAAAACCCAAGGAAACCCCTCAAAAAAGTTGATCTTTGGTGGATTTTAGATGATCATATCTCTCAAAATGTATCTAGTGAACTTTTGGTAGGAAATGAATTGATAAGAGAGAGTCCAACATCAAAAGTGCGAAAGTGTCGAAAACATTCAGGGACCAAATGAAACCATCCTTCACAAAAAAATGGTATGCCCAAATGTTTTTTTCGAAACTTGGTTTTATGGTGCATTATCAGGTGTAACACGATGTACCCACTATATCCTGCAACAACTAAGCCTCCCAGCATCCACATCGGAAAGCGGAACATCATCCAACAACACCGCGTTCTGGTACGCCACCTTTCGATGGGGCCACCAGAAGGGCCAGAATGGTCGCTGCGTCGCACTTCGTGTGTTGAATCTTCGAAGCATTTATTTCACAGATCCTGCGAATCTAGCCCCTTGCCCAAACAAAACCCCAAACCACTTCAAACACATGAGTCTGTCTGGGGCTTTTTCATATATACATACCCCATGATACCCTCAATTTCATTGGACTAAAATCAGCAACCATCAACCATCAAGTTATATATAGCATGTGTCAGATTGCATTGACACGACAATCCATTCAGTCACAACATGTGACCCTTTTCACTTGCACCATTTGCCAGGTGGGACAACATGTCCAACATTACATTTTCCATTGCCCATTTCGGATCTGGGCGTTAGGCGCCTTGAGTCAGCACAGGCACGACACACGTGCGACGAGGAAAACAACTTTGAGGCGTGGACTGCTACTTCGTGAGAGCATCATCCCGAGATTGGTAGCGGAGCTCTTCACGATCCTTTCTGAAGGCTCCTACTACCTGCTACAACCTTGCCATCTTTGCCGCGTCGATCACTGTGCTTTTGGCTGTGAACATCACGGAACCTGAGGCGGTGATTTAGCGACCCAATGCCCGGCAAAGGCAATGGTGGTGGAAGCGATGCTGCAACTGCAGCAAATGGAGGAGCAGCAGGTAATGGATCCCAAGGATTCCCTGGCGGCGGTGGACGTGGACTAGATTCAGGTTTGGCAAAATCAGCCCCTTCAGCAGAGGGACTCAACCAGAAGAGCTACAGAAGTTACAGGCGAAGACTCAAACTTTTTGCCAAACAATGTGCACGTCGCAACAGGGACACTTCCATAGAGGGAGCCTATCTTGCAATCAGTCTTCTACAAGATTCGGCATGGGAGGCTACGGAACAACTGGACCTTGACGAGGTTGAACTCGCAGAAGAGCCTTTCAGCCCGATTTGGGAACTTTTGGACAAGCTCTACCAGTACGAGGACCTCATCGAAGTCCCTAGCCGGTGCGAAGAGTTTTTCCAGGAGTTCATGCGGATGAAGAACGAAGATCTACAGGCCTACATCTTGCGGCATGGCACTATGATGAAGAAGATGAAGGAGGTTCACATCGAGATCCCCAAGCTCTTGGCTGGTTGGCATTTGCTGACCCGTGCTGGTGTGCCCAAATGGACGCACGTACAGGTGAAGTCAATGTGCGGTGGCGACATGGAGTATGACAAGGTCAGCCAAGCTTTGATGCGGATGTTTGGAGGAGATCATCGACCCAATCCAAAAGACCTTGGCAAGCTTCACAAGGACGACGTCTTCTACGAGGACATTGATGAGGAGGTCTTCTATGAGGAGGACGATGATGAGTACTATGATGGCTTTGACGAGGACTTCGACTACAACAACGACGAGGTCTACTACGAGGACGAGATCCCTGAGGATGTGGAGAACGCAGCAGACCAGGTCGAAGATGCCTACGTCAGCTATGTGGAAAGTCGTCGTCGTATGCGAGAACTGGCTTTGTCAAGAGGCTTCTATCCCATCGTTGCATTGGGACCTGAGGTGCAGTCAGAGAAGGGCAAGGGCTATGCACGAGGTGGAAAAGGCAAAGGCAAAGCAAAAGGCGGAAAAGGAAAGGGCAAGAGCAAGGGATACAACAACAATGGCAATGGCTTCAAGAAGACTCCATGGTCGAGACGGCCGGCAAGTGGTCTGAGGAGATTTACACCGAGTTCTACACCGAGCACTTCAAGCGGCGCGAACTCTGATCTGAGATCAACTTTGTCTGGATCAACATCGCAGCATGGACCTCGATTCAAACGCTATCGAGTACAAGGAGCTGGAGTCAAAGAGGTCTCAGAGGACCAGGTCACTATGGTTGAGGACATCACGGAGGACAAGATCTACCAGATCAATGCAGCTGAGGAATGCCTGTTCTCCAACATGGTGACGGGCATGGCAATCGTTGATTCTGGCGCTTCAAGAACGATAGTTGGTGAAGATGTCTGGAAGCAATGGCTCGAGCACATGCGCGAGCGCGATGTCAAGGAGATCCACTACAACAATGAGGTCAGAGACTTTCGCTTTGGAGACGGCAATGTGGTCAGATCCAACTATGAGGTGACCTTCCCAGCGTATGTCAAGGGCCAGAAGTTGAACCTCGCTGCAGCAGTTGTTCCTGGCGGAACACCTTTTCTTGTGGCGCGACCTACGCTTGAAGAGTGGAAGGTGAAGCAGGACTACGAGAACGCCAGATTGAAGGTGATGAATTCTGATTGGTTCGAGCCCGAGCGCGACAAGAAGAAGCACTACATTCTCAACTTGATGGACTATGAGGACATCAAAGAGGAAGTCAACCACCAGCTGGAGGAGAACGACAAGATCGGACTTTTGACAGAAGAATGCGAGATTGTCTTCAAGGACGCTCTGGAGAATGACATGGACGCGATCATGGTGGCTGAAGATGTGCACGACAGTTGGACCATTGAACCCAACATCGACAAGGAAGGCATGGTGGAAACATCACCCAACTGCGCGGTCGACGTGGATGTGAACGATGCCCTGGAATTGAGTGAGGTGGCGGTTGGCAAAAGCTTTGCTAGCCGCGGGCTCCTCTTCTGGGAGGTCTACGTCGACCGCGGAAACATCTCTCAACACATGGTCAACCACTATCCCGACGTGGAGGTGGCAAATTTTTCTTTGCCAGACTGGGACTTCAAGAAGGCGGAGATCAGGAAGAGATTTCTGGAGCTCATGGACATGGAGAAACCGCACTTCATATGGCTTGCGCCTCCATGCACTTTGTGGTCACCCATGCAGAACTTGAATGCCATCACCGAGGCTGACAAACAACGACTTCAAGAACTACGAGATGAGGAAGAGTCAGCTCACTTACAACTTTGCAAAGATGTTCACGACAAGTCCTACGACATCTATGCAGGCGATGGCATCGAGAACCCAGACAGAGCAAGGTCTTGGTTCACTCCAACTTGGCAGTCCATGGAAGAATACTATGATGTGGTGTGTGACCGCTGTCGCACAGGCCTTGCATACTACAAGAACGGCATCTTCCAAGGGCTTGTCAAGAAGAGCACAAGAATCAGGACAAACAGTCCAGAACTTGCAGAAGCTTTGGACCTCAAATGCCGATGTCCACAAGGCGAACATGTCCAGATGATTGGCAAAAGCGCGGCACTGAAGGAGATGCAAAAGTATGAGCCAAATTTTGTCCAGCGCGCTGCAAAAGCAATCTACAACAACATGGAGAACAATTGGCGTTTGAGGCAGATCGCTCAAGTGATGGTCACTGAGGAACTCAACGACGAGGAGGCTGAGAAAGAGAGAAAAGCAGCTCAACAACAACACAGATTGACGGAGCATGATCGTCAACTGGCCAAAGAGTTTGGCCCAGCTTCTCTCAACGTGGTCAAGAAGTTGCATAGACAGCTTGGTCATCCTGGCAATGACAGACTGGTCAAGGCCCTCAAGGATGCGAATTTTGATGACACAATCATCAAATGCGGACGTCAATTTCGATGTGACATCTGCGAGTCTTTTGCCCCAAAGAAGCTGGATAGACCAGCATCTCTGCCACAGACCACACACTTCAACGACATGCTGGAGATGGACGTTTTTCACATCAAATGGCATGGACAGAAACACAGGATCCTTGCAGTTTTGGATCTGCATACAAGGTATGAAATGAACGAGGTGGTCAACAGTGAAAGTTTTGATGAGGAAACAGCAGCTTTGGAGCGATGGATGTCTTGGGCAGGAGTTCCAAGAAGGATCAAAACTGACTCTTCAGGCGCACACATGGGAGAAGAGATGCAGAGCTGGTGTGATGAATATGGAATCAAACTCATCCTTGTGCCAAAGGATGCTCACAACAGGATGGGCACCATCGAGCGTCTTCATGCAGTGCGACGCCGACAACTCATGAAAATGATGAAAGAAAACACCAGCTTAGACATCCGCAAGGCAGTCATCATTGCCTGCTCTCAGCGCAACCGGCTGAGATCAATACATGGAATTTCTCCAGCAGCCATGGTTTTGGGATACACTCCTGAAGATGATGGAATCTGCGATGAGCCAACCAGGCTTCGCGTTGATGGACGTCAAGCCTACATGGAAGACCAGGCCATTCGAGCTCTGGCAACCAAAGCCTTCTATGAGGCCAACACTGATGCGACACTCAGACAGGCCATGCTCGCCAAGACCAGAACTGATGATGAACCTCTGCAAGTTGGCGACTATGGCTACTACTGGCGAATGATGATGGACAAAGAGGCATCTAGGTGGCGTGGCCCAGCTTTGGTTTGTGCCGTCGAAAGTCGACCTGATGGAAGACCTGATGTATACTGGATGGCACATGGCTCATCACTGGTTCGTGTAGCACAAGTCATGGCAAGACGTGAAGTTCCAGCAGAAAGAACAGCAAGGTTAGAGCAATTGCCCGACACTGCAGCCCAAGAACCTGCTCAACAACGAGTTCTGCGAGCACTTCGGCCAGTGCGAGGCCCAATTCGCTTTCTTGACCTTGCCCCCGATGGACCTTCCGTTGACACAGAAGCAAAAGCAGCGCAGCGCACAGCAACAGCAATCGAGCTCAAGAATGAGGACGCAGACAGCAAAAGAAGCATCAAAGAGGAGACAGAGGTCAAAGAGGAGATCAAAATGGTCAAACGTGACAGTGCAGCAGCAGAGCTTGAAACAAACAATGACATGGACGTAGAACAACAACCTGCAGCAGAAGTGAAAGCAGAAAAGCGAGAGAGATCAAGAAGTCCACCAAAGGAGGACGAAGTACGTCTGAAAATGTCTCAGGTTTCTTTCGATGCAGCACGACGTTTGGAAGGTTTACCTCCGAGAGCAGCTACCAGACAGGAGCTCAACAGCAACTGGCATGGTCCAGTTGACAACATCGATGTGGATGACGAGCTGCTTGCGGAGGAGTTCAATGAGAAGAGATTGAGCTTGGAAGAGAGAGCTCAGTTTGACGAAGCCAAAGACCAGGCACTCAGAGTCTGGATTGAAAATGATGCTTGGAGACCAGTGAACATGGAGGAGGCTGACCCTGAGGAGACAGTCCCAGCACGCTTTCTTCAAAGATGGAAGCCAAAACCTGACGCTCCTGGGGGTCGTGTGGCAAATGCAAGAGTCATCTTGCAGGGCTTCAAACACCGAGATGTTTTGACGCAGGAGATTGAAAAGGAAGCACCAACACTCAGCAGAGTTGGGAAACATCTCATCTACCTCTTTGCCCTGCAGCACCGATGGAAGATCTTTGCCGCAGATGTCAAATCTGCCTTCATGCAAGCTGACAGCATCGACCAGGACACCAGGATCTACATCAAGCCCTCTTCCGACATGCGAAGACGCCTTGAGCGCCTTATGGGCTTGAAGCACTATGAGCTCTTGAAGGCAACAAAGCCCGCCTTCGGTGACGTGCGTGCACCGAGACAGTGGAATGCTTCAGCAGATGGCGTCATGATCAACAACATGAGGTTCCTACGCCATCCTCTCGACCGCTGTGTTTACCTCAGCATCCGGGAGGCCAACCAAGATGATGAAGAGTTCGCCTGCTTCAACCTTGGCGGCTCAGTTTGCACTGTTGATGGTGTGATGGGTTTGCATGTGGATGACTATCTAGGAGCTGGCGAAGGCATCAACAGCCCTCATGACTTGGAGGGTGACTACGATGGCAACTTCAACTGCTTTCGAGACAGACTGTGTGGACTCTCCAAGCGCTTCAAATTTGGCTCTTGGGATTTTGGACCTACCATCAGGTTTTGTGGAGCCAGTGTGGAGCAGTCACTCAACAACGACTGCATCAGCATCTCCATGAAGGAGTATGTCAAGAAGGTCCACCCTCTGACTGTCGAAAAGACACGCAAGACCATGGTCAATGATCCTTGTGATGAGAAGGAACAGAGGGGATTGCGAGCCTTGGTGGGCGCTTTAGCTTGGCCTGCGAACCAATGTTTGCCCCAGCTGTCAGCATCAGTGAGCATCCTTCAAGCTTCAGTGGCAAAACCTCAAATCAAAGACCTTTTGGAAGCAAACAAAGCTTTACGCTTTGCCAAGAATGTGTCGCAGGACTACAAGATGAAGCTGTACCAACACACAGATCGACTTGAGGAGGTGAAGTTTTCGGTGTACACTGATGCAGCATGGTCGGTGCGACCAGATGGCAGCAGCCAAGGTGGTTTTCTCATTTTTGCAGCCAGTGAAAGTGAACTGAGAAGTGGTGCCCCTTTCAACATGACGATCATAGATTGGCACTCCAAGAAACTTGTGAGGATGTGTCGATCGTCACTGTCAGCAGAGGCACGGGCATCAGCAGCAGCAGTGGACGAATTGGAATGGTGCAAAGTTTTTTGGAGCACCATGGTCAATCCCACTTTGAGCATTGAGACCGACGAGACACTTTGTCACAGCGGTCTCTCCTATGTCCTGACTGATGCGAAGTCTCTCTTCGACGCTTCGAAGTCCATTACCTCAGGCATGCATCTCACTGAACGTCGAACAGCCATCGAAGTGGCGATTGTGGCTGAGAGGGTGAAAGTGATGCAAGCGGAATGGAAGTGGCTGAACTCACATCAGCAAGTTGCGGATGGACTTACCAAACCATCTGCCAAAGATCGTTTTGCAGAGATCCTTCAGCGAGGGAACCATCAGCTCAAGTTTGACCCAAATTTTGTGGCAGCAAAGAAAGTGGCACAGAAAGACAAAGATGCGCAGGAGAGACATCTCCAACAAGTGGCAACTGAGCAAGTTTTTGGGCTGACGGATTTTGATGATGAAAACAAGTCCGCCGACCTTTGTCAGTTGCGCGGATGCAAAAAAAAGATTGACTCGTCCGAACCTCACCACAAGTTTTGCAGCAGAAGGCATTTTTATTTGAGTCATCATCGGAAGTTTGGATGGTCCGATGAATGGAGCAAAAGTGCCAAACTGGCAATTTCAATTTTGGCTGTGGAGAATGCGAGTCAAGCTGAAGCACACATGTTTGGAGATGATGTTTTGAAAGCAAATACATGGTGGAATGTTTTCACAGCGTTTGCAGTCATTTTCTTCTTTGCGCAGGTGTTTTTCAAGTTCATCCATGTCATTGAGCGCATTTTTGAGTATGTCAGGTTGCAACTGAATGTCCCAGCTTCTGAGAACATTGCAGCTTTTGAAAATGACATCACTTTTGAAACCAAGGCAGTTCAGGCGAATGTCCGCCTTCATGCGTATGACATGGCCCTTGAAGAGATCTTTTTGTTTGAAGAGAACTACGCCCGGCCGAGCCATGGCGTGCCGATTCCTGATGAAGGTCTATGGCGTACAACGTATGACGAGGTTCTGAATGAGCCTGATCAGGAAATGTGGCGCAAACTGTCTTCCGGCATTTTGGCGGGAAAGTTTGGTCATCGAGCACGAGACTGGTGGTATGCAAACACTGCTAGCGATGTGCGTGCTGAGCGTTTTCTTCAAAGAGATCACAGTGGACAACCAGTGAGCGAATCCAAAATGAAGACATGGCATCGTCTTTGCAATTTCAGTGATGGAAAGTTTCTGCGAGGCTTTCTGACTGGTTTTGCTGAGCATTTACGTGAAACACAGGAAGATCAACAAAGAGAAGTGGCAGAGCAAATCATGCAGGGCAAGCTGCGTGACAAGATCATTCAAACGAGATGCACATGGAAAAGCGTGCATCATGGTTTCAGCATTTTGGCTGGAGAAAACTCATGGGGTGCGTGGAATCACCGAAGCGCACTGGATGAAAGAGATTAAAGAAGAAGGAAAAGCACACATGAGCGGCCGTGGCATTAGACTCAAAAAAATTTTGACTTTCCTTTCCGTGTCAGATTGCATTGACACGACAATCCATTCAGTCACAACATGTGACCCTTTTCACTTGCACCATTTGCCAGGTGGGACAACATGTCCAACATTACATTTTCCATTGCCCATTTCGGATCTGGGCGTTAGGCGCCTTGAGTCAGCACAGGCACGACACACGTGCGACGAGGAAAACAACTTTGAGGCGTGGACTGCTACTTCGTGAGAGCATCATCCCGAGAGCATGATTATATTCCCATTTGTTCAAAACCCAATAAAATTCCCCATGAAAATAGCAGCAATTGCTGAAGTCTTCCACAGTTCCACCATCATGAAATATACAAGATTATACAAGAGGTGCTATAATATATACATTGTTACATACCCCACTTAGGCCCAAAAAGGTGCTATTACCCTCTGGTAAATTAACATAGACCCTGGCAGTCATCGGGGTTGGAAGACTAGTGAAACCATTAAAAATGTGTGATTTTCAGGGTCAACAAGTTAATTTACCAGGGTGTATAATGAAGTTCCACCATCCACCCTTCAATGCTGCTCCAAAAAGTGGTGTGGCCTCGTTGAGGCCGAAGTCGTTGGAATACGCCTGCAGCCAGGCGAGGTCGCTGCCTCCACCAAGCCTGGCGACCACGTGTCGCCATGCCCGAAATGGGCGGAGGTTCACACGTCAAAACCTATCAAAGATGAATGGAAAATGATGGAAAATGCATGGAAAATGATGGAAAATGATGGAAAATGATGGAAAATGCATGGAAAATGATGGAAATAGCTTGACTCATAGGTTTTTTTTCTCAATCATTGGATGTGTGAAAAATAGTAAACCTGAGGCAAAAAAAAGATGCGATCGAAAATGGAGATTACATGGGATATAATGAGGATGTTTGACGGGATATAATCTATCATTGAATCATATGATGGATGCTGAAATTTCACCAAAAATTGGCATTCGAACCGACAAAAATAGGATTGATCAGGGATGTGAGGCCCCCAAACGATGGCTAAGTTCACGCACTTATAAGTTGGTGAAATCTATACTTCATGGTGTGTGTGAAATAGTGTATATCATATATGATATTGTATCATTGAGTATGTATAATATACATATATACTCAATGGTGTTTATCAACCAACAAAACTGGGGCTTGGCTGCACCATCTGTCCATCATTCCGCCGCACCTGCGCAGCGAGTCAGAATCAATGGGCGACTTCTTCACGGTGATTTTACCTCGGCTCGGCTCGGCTTTTGTTCGAAGACCATCACCCGGACACCACAGCACCGGCCGGGTTGTTTCTCAAAAAACTCGGGGGGGTCCGGCGGTTTTTTTCAATGTGCCCTATGCGAAACCAATCCAAGGATCAATTGATGTCAACCAAAGTCGTCGAACAGAGGACATCAGAGTCTGGAAACGCAAAAAAGAAGTCTCGACCTCACTTAAATGAGTTTACTACTTGACATTGCCCTTCTTAGCCCTTCCTGGTTTCCGAAATTTGGAGAGTGTGCCAAAAAAAGATCACTCATCTTGGCGCATCATTTCTGGATGCTTGGTCAAGCTTCGAAAAGTGAGATCCTTGCCATGAAAAGTCTTGATGATGTTGGTTTTGCCCTCAATCTTTGCCACATCCCCACTACTTACCTACTTGGAGGATAGCAAATGGTTAATACCCTCTGGTAAACTAACATAGCTATTGAAAATGGCCATTTATAGTTGATTTGCCCAGCTATAAAGTGGTGGATCTTTCCAGTTCGTTATGTAAACGTTTACCAGAGGGTAACCCTGGTTCGCAAGTCCCAATTTCGTGGTCCCATCTATGGATGAACCAACTATGGTTATTAAAGAAATTCACCACAGACACCATTTCTGGGACGATCCAGGGCCTTAGCTCTTGACCCACGCCGAAAATATCCCTGTGGATGTGTCCAAAAATCAGGGGATGAATCAAAAAAAAAAACGTCTGAGAGTCCATAGAATTGGTCGAAAGATTAGGTATGAATGGGAAAAACAAAGAAACTTGATAGATAGAAATTGTTAAAAAAAAAAACTTTAGATCATCAATGGAAAAAAATGATACCCTCCAGTAAATTAACATAGACCCTGAAAATCACCAATTTTTAATTGAAACTAGTCTTCCAACCCCTATCTGCCAGGGTCTATGTTAATTTACCAGCCGGGAAAACTCGGTTGGATGTTGGGTGTTTTCCCCACCCGTCACTCTGGGACACCGGCTCAATGCGATGATCTTTTTCAGGACCTCCCATGGTTGAAATCCCTCAAGGTGGTCTCCGTTGTGTTTCTTGGTTTATGTTACCCTGAAAAACGAGTTCGATATATCCTGGTTGGTGGTATACCCCTCTGAAAAATATGAAAGTCAGTTGGGGTTACTATTCCCAGTATATGGAAAAGTAAATTCATGTTCCAAACCACCAACCAGTATCAATCATAAAGCCCCCCCGTTCTTAAAGTATGTTAAAGTTATGTAGAAACCAGCTCAGCGATTCCGACCGGGCGCTTGCAATTCACCCAGACTATGTCTCATCAAAAATCCCATATCCCCATTCGACCACCATTTTTGTTGCTGAAGTCACCCAATGTGATGCCAAAACAAGAACCCAAGCAGCTTTGTCCATCTGTGGGTAAACAATCGTGATTTTTCATAGTTCAGAAATGTTACCCTCTGGTAAACAGCCACATAACTATGGAAAGATCCACCACTATTTCTATGGCCATTTTCAATAGCTATGTTTGTTTACCAGAGGGTATCATATCCAATAAAATATCCTAAAACATCCTAAAACACTGGTTGGTGGTGCAATATCACTACGAGATTCTCACTTTTCCCGTCCCAACGATCTCCGCCCCGACCTGATCCAGTAGCCGCGTCTCGGTGCCAAAGGCATCCGCACTGTCCTGGTCCTCACCGTCCTGTGGTGCTGCGGGGAATCCAGGCTTTAACTGTCACTAATAACTATATATATATAATATATACATATATACGTATACGTATATGTGGTGTGATTTCCACACATGCTGCTCCCCATAGCCAACTCCGAAGTAAGCCAAGATAACGTGCTCCAGCCATTACCCACGAAAGCAATGCCTGCCAGGTCAATCAACCCGCAAGGACACTGGCTCAGGATCGGGCCCCTAGGACGTGCGGTGGGTGGGACACGTGTCACTTGGAGCCATATCTCTTGTGGCGGGGCCACAAAACCATTTGGGCGAGGCGCCCTGCCTTTCGAAGAGACATTCTGCAGTGGAGGTGCCAAAACATTGGCGCGTGGCCGCGCTGAGCAGCTGGGAGCGGGGACTTCTGGCTAGGTGGTGACACCAGTTTCATACTGGTAGCGGAGCTCCTACGGGAGCATCCGGGGCATTGAAAGATGTCCGAAGCTTCAGGTGGGGATCCGCCCATCTCAAATCAGCTGGCGAACCTGGTGCCCACGTTCGACCCGGCCAAGGATGACATGACCATATACCAGCAGAAGGTGGAGTTGGTTCTGGCAGCATGGCCACGTACCAAAATCACAGAGCTCACAACACGCCTGATACTGAACTGCACAGGAACAGCTTTCCAGAAGCTTCAGCTTCACCAGACCGAACTGCTTGCGGAGAACGACCCCAAGTCAGTGCAACAGCTGGTCAAGTTGCTTGGCGGCCAGTGGGGCCGTGTCAGCCTTGAGAAACAGTACCAAGAGGCCGAGAGTGCGCTGTTTGGCACAACTCAACGTGCTGATGAGAGCAACGATTCATACCTGGCAAGAGCTGATGTACAATGGATGAAACTCCTTGCACAGAAGTTGAAGGTAGAAGATCTTCAGGCCTATGTGGTCTTGAGGGGTTCCCAACTCTCTCCGGAGGACAAGAAGAAGGTGATCCTGGAGAGCGATTCCAGTTTGGAAGGTCGCCTCACAATGTCTCGAGTGAACGAGGCAGTGCGATTGCTGGGAGCTTCGTTCTTCCAGGACATGACAGGGGGAAAACGTCTCTCCCGAACCAAGGTGTATGAGCAGTCGGCACTCCATGCCGAATCCTACGATGAAGATGGTCCAACAGACACCTTAGCCACAGGCCACGATGAGAATGAAGATGAGTTCATCGATGGACTAGCTCATGATGGAGATGAAGATGCTACGTTGGTAGCTGATTTTGAGCTGGCAGCGTCTGAGACGTTGCAAGACGATCCATCACTGGCTGAGGCGTTCAACGCCTACCAAGAGGCACGTCGCCGATTGAGTGAAAAGTTCCGCAACAGAGGTTTCTGGCCTACCACAAAAGGGTCCTACTCGTCCGGCAAGGGCAAAGGTGGGAAGTTCACCAAGGGCAAAGGGGGCAAAGGTGGTTTTGACAATCGACCTCGAAGGAGCCTCCAAGATCGGATCCTCAATAGCAACTGTCGCATTTGCGGCAGAAAAGGGCACTGGAGGGCAGAATGTCCTTACAAGGGAACCAGCCAGGGGTCAACAGCAGGATCTACGACCTCTGGAGCAGGGCCTACTACGACCGTGATCACTGAGGACATCATTGAGGGGCCCGATGTGTTGCCCATGGAGTTCATGAACCTGCCGGTGCACGGCACGTTGGACGAGGACAGCGGAACCAAAACCCATCCATGCAGGGTCAGTGAGATGAATGTTTTTCATGTTTTGGGTCAATATGGTCATTACCAAGGGGGGATTCAAATAGAGTCACGGGGTAATAGAAACCATATCGTAGGGGTAGGACATGACCGCCTCAAAGCCCGGATCACCAGGAATAAACCGGGAACACTGCAGACTGAACCAAGTAGGAAGTCCGAATCAGCCAAAGCCCGACTGAGACAACACATTTCAGTCGTGAATGCCGACAGGTTCCGACCGGAACCCATTCAGTCGCCAGCCGCGTCCAATCATGTTTCCAGAAGATGTCAGGAGGACAAACCTGAACACAGTAAGCCCAATGCCATCCAAGAAGAGAACCAGATTTGCTTTGCAACGTATGGATCCATGGGTGTACTTGATTTAGGTGCCTCCAAGACCGTGATTGGAAGCGACCATGTTGCCGAAATGCTCGATGGTTTAAGCCCTCAGGTTCGAGACAAAGTCACTCGCAGTGCCTGTCAGGTGACGTTTCGATTTGGAAACCAAGGAACCTTGCAGTCCAAGCATGCCATCATAGTCCCAATAGGTCCGTTGTTGCTTAAGGTTGCCATCGTGCCTGGAGGGACGCCTTTTCTCCTGAGTAATTCACTGATGCGTGCCTTGTCAGCCCAGATCGACTGCAGGTCTAAGACGCTGCACAGCCCTTTGCTGGAGAATCCCATAAGGTTGTCATTAACTAACAAAGGTTTGTTTCTGATTAACTTGGATGAATTAGCAACCAATGCCAGCGCTGTGACTTCAGCAAAGCCGACATCGTCCCTGACTGAAACGTTCGTGTCCGAAGATGCCGAACAAAGAGTGCCTGCCGACACCAAGCCTGAAGAGCCATGCCATCAGCCAATCGTTTCCAGATGTAACTGTCCAGAAGTGCCACCGGTAGACCAGTCCAGTCAAGTAACTCACACACCACATGATGAACATGGTTTTAACGATGCCAATGCCAAGAACAATTTTCCTGCCATTCAAAACCACCAGAAAGATGAAAATGTCACCACCATAACCAATGATAGGTCACCAGGTGCCCAGATGTCAGCCGACCGAATGACAGCAGTTTTGCCAGAATCAGAGTCGATCCCAACAGTGACTCCCGATCAGATCAATCATGTCGCTTCAGCAGCGCCTTCAAGCCATGCAGATGAAGGAGACGGTGCAGACCAACGATCTGGACCACATGACCCGAGAGCAACTAGCCAAAGAGGTCATCGACTTCGGAGGCAAGCACAGGGGCAAGAGCTACCACGATGTGTGGGTGGAAGATCAAGAATGGGTGCTGTTCATGGTGAGCCGCTATCCCGAGAGCCTGAAACCCAGTCACCGAGAATTCCTTCGCTATGTCGACCTCCAGCTGTCGGAACACGAGAAGCACCAGCTTCCCGTCCCAGTGATGAAGAAGGCAGTGACACCAGTGGCCATCAACAACCCCAAGAATGCTCTCAAGGCAAAAGCCAAAGCCTCATCGGCCTACAGCACCCAGGTCCACGACGCCTTAGTACCTACAGTGGATTCCGAGGAAGAATGGCTCAGTGGAGAGATGTGCGAGTCACAACCTCAGACTATGACCTCCGACCCAATGGTCAACGAGAACGTGATGGCTCTGCAAGATCGCATGCAGAACATGGAACAAGCTCTGGGCCGTGTCATCCAGTTCATCAAGGAGAAGAGCCTGCCGCAGAACCACGATCAGTGAGTGAGCTTCTCGACGGCCAGGCTGAAAGTCACACGGCCATGCATGCAGATCGTCGGACGATCAATTCGTTGATCATTCAAATGACACAGGAGTTTGAAGCCCAGTTCCAACAGTGCAGGCCACTAGGCAAACGATGGGATGTTGGTGAAATCTTTTGCAGTTCACAGTCACCAATCATTCAACAAGTTCACAATCTCAATGCGAAAGGGTTTCGGTTTGGATATCAAGAAGGTGATCTTTCCACTGTAGAAGGAAGACGGAAGTTGTTCAGCCTGATCATCATGCACAGACCTAGAAGCCTATGGTACAGTCCTGTGTGCGGCCCATGGTCGTCATGGTCCAATTTGAATGCTGCGCTGTCCATTCAACACTGGAGGGATCATCAGACACTGAGACACGACATGTTGTACCAGCTTGCCCTTGGAATAGTTTTGTATCGCCACCAGGTATCCAATGGAGATCACATGCACTGGGAACAACCTGGCCGATCCTTGATTTTCAAACAACCAGGTATGGATGAACTCCAAGGTCACATGAAGACATGCGAGTTTGATATGTGTCGTGCCGGAGAACTCAAAGACCCGGTCAACAAGAAATTCATGAAGAAAGCCACGCAAATAATGACCACTTCCAAGACACTATACCACACCCTACACGGTATCAAATGCAATCACCGACATGTACATCAAACCATTGAAGGCACTACATATACTGACCAAGGTCCCATACTACGAACCAAATACTCAGAGGTATACCCACGCAAGTTTGCACGGACCATAGCCAAGACCCTGACTCAGCTGAGGGATGAAAAGCCTTTCCAGTGGAATCCGCGGATTCATCTGCAAAATATGTTGGGACAGCCGTCCAGCATATATGCCGCTGCCGCTGACTCTAAGTCAGCCCGGGACCGTTTCCCTCGTTCTGATTTAATCTATCCACTGTCGGAGACCGATCCACAAGTGAAAAGACGAAGGGTGAATGGTAAGCAGAGTCCACAGGTCACCAAAGAAATGTGTGAACGGTTCATGCAAACAATCCAAAAGGAACTTCCCAGGGTTGGTAAGAAAGAGATTGTTTCTCCAAATGCCTGGAACCAGATCAAAGAGATTTTCCATGACAAAGAAATCATCAAAATTATTGCATGCCGAGGCACTGATCGAACTCTAGGTCCACCACCGGACTTGCATTATGATGAAGCACCTTTCCGCCGGACTATCATGGAAATACGCAACACCCAGGAAATCAAATATGAGGCCAATTGGGAACGATGGAATCAGCTTTCACAGAGACAGTTGGTACGTCCAGCCCATCCATGTAAAATTAATGTCACCGTGTTTGGCCGAGATCGGACTCTTGACAACGCAATGCCGGCAAGGCCTCCAAATGCTGAATTGCCAGACCTCCCAGAGGCTCGAACATTAGGAGAATCCAGTGTTCAACCACCGGTTGGAATGCCAGTGGAGCCGCCTGTTCCAATCACTGAGTCCGAGCGTACGTCAACTGACACCACGATGCAAGCTGCACCACCATCGGTGCCTAATCCCGCGAAGGAGAAAGAGCACACGGACGTTCAACTCCGATTCCTGAGTTTGGCTCCTTGGGAAAACAAATGTTGCGTCAGATGCACAACAATCTGGGCCATCCGAGTAATGACCGTTTGTGCAAAGCCTTACAAGACCAAGGATACAGACCAGAGATAATTCAAGCAGCTCGAGAACTATCGTGCGTGACTTGTGCCAAGTGCTCCCCACCGAAGCACCAGCGGCCAGCGACGTTAAAACCCATCCTGGATTTTAACCATAAGATTTACGTGGATGCCATTAATTGGACCAACAAGAGTGGTAAAACTTTACACTTCTACCATATACTTGATGCCGGTTCCAATTACCATGTTGCCATTGCGTCTCCGTCAAACACATCATCCAACATCATACGACTGTTGCAACAACACTGGTGCAGTTGGGCAGGGGTTCCAACAGAGCTAGTGGTGGATTCAGGAACAGAACTGAACAGCCAAGAGTTCCAGAGTTTCCTTCAACAGTATGGCATCAGGTGCGCCACAACGAGTCCCGAAGCTCATTGGCAGAGCGGAAGAATCGAAAGGCATGGCAGCTTCCTCCAATCCATGTTAGCTAAAGTGGATCAAGAACATGGTGTAACTGACTATCATGATTTACAGGATGCCCTAAATCAGTGTACGTCAGCCAAGAATACCCTAAGCACTCGACATGGATATTCTCCCGAGATCATCGTGTTTGGTCGCCAATCTAGACTGCCTGGATCCATTCTCAATGATGAAGCCGTTCCCAGTCACCTACAAGCCATACAAGAATCACCCGATGTAAGCACCACAGAGTTTCGAAAGACCCTGCAGCTGCGGGAAAGTGCACGTCGCGCATACCACGCGGCCGACAACTGTGATGCCCTGCGAAAAGCTGTCCTCCGAAGATCTTGCCCACACCGTGGTCACTATGAACGGGGATCCTGGGTAATGATATGGAGAACGGTAAATGTTGGGGATAAGAAATGGATAGGACCACAAAGAGTAATCATTCAAGACGGGGATCACACTATTTGGACCACCCAATGTGGGAAAATCTTCCGTAGTGCTCCAGAGAATGTCCGACCATCCATGCCGGAAGAAGGTCATCCTGAGGGCCCCGATCTTCCTGAGGATGTCACACCTATCCAGCAACAAATCCAAGCATTGCAAGAACTTGAACATCGACAGACTGAGACAGGTCTTGATATGCCCAATGAGGAAACTACCAATAATAACCCTCACATCAGTAGTTCTCACCCCAATAATCATTCCAATAACCCACCAGAAGAACCTGAAAATATCCCAGAAATCCCCAGTGAATCCAGTCAAAGTGAAGCTGACCCACAGCCTGATCCGGAAGCAGAAAACGCAAGTCCACCAGGGACATCCATGCCATCAACAGACTCGGAAGATCAAGAGATTATCAGTTTGCTGTGTCAGGAACCTGAAAATGCTTTCACATGCGATGCAAGTGGAGAGAATGCTTGGAGGTGTGAATTTGAAATTCCCTTGCAACAGCCGCTGGATAGCCATGTTCCCAACGAGGAAGAAACTTGGCTGCTTCTTGCGACGTCAGCAAAGAAGCAACGATCCGAAGTGAAGCTGACTGAACTGTCACCAGCCGAACGCGCTGAGTTTGACAAAGCCAAGAGATCCGAAATTGCCAATTGGATACAGACGGGGACCCTCTCCAAAGTACTCCGAAATCAAATCCCTGAAGAACAGATTCTCAGAAGTCGATGGATATTGACATGGAAGCCTCTAGACCAAAGTGAACAGACCAATGGCAAAACCCATAAGGCAAAGGCAAGGCTAGTCATCCTGGGGTACTTAGATCCTCAAATCGAAAATATCCCACGAGACAGTCCAACCTTGAACAAAACCTCCCGAATGCTGATTCTACAGGTACTTGCCCCCCAATTGTGGCAAGTGTGTAGCTTTGATATCAAGGCCGCCTTTCTACAAGGACAACCTCAATCCTCCCGTGTCATGGGCTTGGATCCGGTGCCAGAGATGCGACAAGCCATGTCCATGCAACCCCATGAGATAGGCAAGTTGAATAAGGGAGCATATGGCCTGATCGATGCACCATATCTTTGGTATTGTGCCCTGGTAAAGGAATTAACATACCTTGGTTTTGAAACTAGCCCTTTTGACCCCTGTTTATTTGTTCTCAGAGAGCCATCAACCTCACCGAAAGCCGGTCAGATAGCAGGGATATTGGGGATTCATGTAGATGATGGAATCGGAGGTGGAAATGAATTTTATCAACGGAAAATTCAACAGCTTGAAAAGAAGTTTCCATGTGGATCCAGAAAGATGTCAAACTTCACGTTCACTGGGATAGAGATCAATCAGCGAGCAGATTGTAGCATAGTGCTCAGCCAATCCGCATACGTTCGGAAAATTGCGCCAGTGACAATTGAACCTAATCGCAAGACACAACCAGAGTTGAAAGTCACTGAGCCCGAACGTTTAGCCTTACGGGGAGTCATCGGTAGTTTGCAGTATGCAGCAATCAACACGAGGCCTGATTTGTCTAGCCGTCTTTCCATGCTGCAATCCAATATCAATAATGCCACGATTGAGACCCTCCAGGAAGCCAATAAGTTGCTACACGAAGCCAAGAGATATCATGATATGACCATCACTATCAAATCCATTCCTGAAAAGGATTTCCGGTTTATGGCTTTTTCAGATGCCTCATTTTCATCAGCCTCCAGACCAGATTCTCATGCCGGTATTGTAGTTGTGGGTACCCACCAAGGTATTTTGGATAATCACCCATGCCCAATCAGTCCAATTTCCTGGGGATGCCGCAAAATCCAGAAAGTAGTCACCAGCACATTAGCTGCTGAGACAATGTCGCTTTCATCAGCACTGGATCAACTGGCATGGCTGCGAATATTTTGGAGCTGGATCCACGATCAAAAGACCAATTGGAAACATCCTGAACAGGCACTCGAAAAGATTCCTGAAGCCATTTCCAGTCCAACTTTCAGAGAACATCCCGATGTCGCAGTAACAGATTGCAAAAGCCTTTTTGATTTAACTACTAGAACGGCCCCACCATCATGCACTGAATTTCGCACGCAGCTGGTTGCCCGTGCCATCAAGGAATCTTTGCAAGAGGGTGTAGCTTTAAGATGGGTTTCCAGTGGCGCTCAATTGGCCGATGCTCTCACGAAGGCCATGGAAGCACATTTCTTGAGGGAAACATTAAGGGTTGGTACCTATCGTCTTTGTGATGAAGAGGCCACGCTGAAAGCCCGCGCCAAGACCCGAGACCGAATCAAGTGGCTCCGAGAGCAGCATGAAGCTTCAACAACCAATTAAAAAGATTTTTTGGGAGTGTGATTTCCACACATGCTGCTCCCCATAGCCAACTCCGAAGTAAGCCAAGATAACGTGCTCCAGCCATTACCCACGAAAGCAATGCCTGCCAGGTCAATCAACC